TTTTATATCCCTATCAATTTTCAAAATCTTTTTGAAGTCAGAAGAGTTATTAATCGTAAACTTCTCCCACCAATGTTGTCTAGTAAAAATAATAGATAGTATATAAACCATTTTTCTTGACAAGTAAGCTTCTTAAAAAAATTTATTGTCTGTGACGTGCAAGTATACAGATAAGAACTCTAACACAACATGGTATCTAGTAATTACATTAGATATTATATAAACCCTTTTTTTTAAAAAGAAAACCTAAAAATTTCCTATTTAATAAAATGTCCGTGACAGTCAAATATAAAGATAAGACTTCTAACATAGCCTTGCATATTTTTCGTTCAAAAAAGGTTGAAAAATGTTTCTGACAAAAAACAAAAAAAAAATCCGTTCGTGACATGAAAGCGAATGGACAATAAAAAAATAAATTTACGTTCCCCATGTTTCATTAAAAAAAAAGCCTAAAAAACATTTTTAAGAGAAAATTATTGATTTCTCGTTGTGTGCAAACGAATTAATGAGAAAAGGGACTTAAAATATACATACAGGTTGTCCATGAAGTCTCTTCACAATTTCAATTTTGTTTTAGGAAGTTTATTATTAAGAAGTTTCAAAACATCTTAAACAGATTTGTTGTTTTTTATTCAGTGATTGTTCAAGTATTTTTACTTCATTTAATACATATGTGAGGGTCGAATATACGGTATCGGTAAATTCCCTTTACAATTTAAAAAAATTTCAAGACTTCATTGACACCCTAAATTTTCATATTTATTCTAGGGGGAGTTCGTATTGCGAACCACAGTCTCTCGTCCGGTTACCAGTCTATGTTGGGTATAGGATTAGTAAGGTAACATATCACTCAATCACACAAAATTACTGTTAAATTAGGTTTAAATTTACTAATTATTTGATATAGTAACTGGCGCCGGTTAAGTTAAAGATAAAATCATTGCTGTCCCGTTTGTCCCATGTTATGTCATAATCAGATTGTTTCGTCACACTTGACAGAACAGTTTTTTTTCCGACGAAGATGGTTTTCGGAGATAATACGATACATGTAGTTGGGATCACGTTTTGAGATTTATTTTTTGAAAAATAAAAATTTACCCAACCAAAATTTAAGAAATAAAGAGTTAATGGGCGCGTCTGGCAGGTATATCGCTGTTTTTTGAAATCTTACAGAAAAGAAATTTTTGGACTTAATATTTACATATCCTATCTACCCCATCAACCAATTCACCTTTCCCTGGGGTTTGGAGGGGGGGACTCAAAGCGGCGCCGAATTTTCAATAAAGTCACGCAACCTTGACAAAGTCATGCATTATATTGAACTATAATCAACTTTAATTTTATATTTCTCAACCGTTAAGTGTCTCTAATACAACAAAGAGCTTGGAAAAACGCCAAAATTCACAACAAACTGTCATTAGATATTCTGTCAGCGACAAAAGCAGAAAAACATTATGTATTTTTATCCATGTGAGTGACTTTTTAGACTGTCGGATCAGAGTTTTATGCTTGGTGGGGAAAAATCTTCCGAGGGCAACACTAGATGTGGCCCGCGGGCCGCCTGTTGCACACTTCTGCTCTATGTTGACATTGCAGGTTCAAATCTCGGGTCATTAGAAAATTTAAATCCGCGCCGAATTTTAAATAAAGTCACACCACCTCGACTTGGTCGTTTATTATATTGAACTATAATGAAATTTTCTATATTTCCCAGCCGTTAAGTGCTATCTGATTAAAACAAATGGATTGGCAACACGCCAAAATTCACAACAGACTGCCATTATATACACCCTTTTATCTGTTTTGCCAATTTTTGAACGGTAATTGGTTCTGGCTGTCTTCCAATGTTATCTAAAACAAATTCTTGCTTTGATTTTAGATGCCAAGTTCATTAGTCTTCGTGTCATAAGAATGCGAAGTGACTTCCACTGAAAACATTTTGAAAAGAAATATATGTTTGCTATATTAAATTGGTTGGAACAGAGGCCTAGTGCTTAAGCAAGGGTGTGCGACATTTTTTGTCGGCGGGCAATATAACTGACTTCAGATATCTAGCTTGACTTCACAAACAAATTAATTGTTCCATGTACGAAACGAATTACAGTAAAAAAGTCAACGGGAAAACGGCGAAAGATTTACCACATCGAAAAAAGCAGAAAAACATTATGTATTTTTACTCACATGAGCGACTTCACATAAACTGTAAGATTAGGATTTTATGCTTGATGGGGAAAAATCTGCGTGTTGACAAGGGCCACACTAAATGGCTTGTGGGGATCGGTTGTGACTCACGGATTATACTATTTTAAATGTTTAAATTGTTTCTAATGCTTAGGCGTAATGCGCCATCATGATTCTTTATAGTTTGAGTAGCTTTCGGGGATCGTCAGTAACTTCGCGCAAAAGTAAATCTCTTTTACATCTGAATAAGATCACTTCACCTTACTTTTTTTTAAAGTACGTCTCAACCCACCGATACCTTTTACTTGAGCAAATTAACATACAACATTTATACAGTATTTCCTTTATCTATAGCCATAATCTGAAACCGTACTCCGCTACTGTAAAATCAAAAATAATGGCGATCATGAGTATGAAATATTACAGTTATAGATAAAACCATAATTCCGAACACCTGTGATCTTATCCAAATCATTTGTGATACAATAATGAAGTGAAATTTGAAACCGCAGCGATAAAGACAGGTGTTATTCGGACAGGCTATTTTTTAAAGGATTGTAGAATTTAAGAATGGAAATTATAGGCGTTTTTATACCTATTTTAAAGATAGTATTTGCTATTATTTCTGAATGATTTACTGAAATATTCTGCGTAGGATAAGTCAAACTAAACTGAAAAGGTTCTGTCCCTTCCTAGAATAAACAGGTGTTATACGAACAGGTTATTCATACTTAGCGCATTGTAAAATTTAAAATTAGAATTAATGTGAGTTTTTTGTAATTTTTTTTAACATGGAAGTTATTATTATTTCTAAATTATCTTACTTCAATAGACTCCGTAAAATAAATTCAACTGAATTGACTATAAATTTTGTAGACGATGCCGGAGCAAAGAAAGTCCGGTCTTTTCTGAAATAATAGTATTTTTTCAAATATCAGCAAATTAAGATTCAGCATATCAGTCAAAATCAAGGGGTAGGGGGCGGGCATTGGGGGTGTTCTGAAATTTCTAATCTCCAAGTTAGACCTAACAGGTAGCGCGTATGCGCTTATGCTATGTTTAATACAGAAAAATGCTTATTATGCAGTTTTTTTTTTGTACTCCTGAAGTATGCGCACCAAGATGTCGCATAACCTGAACCCTAACCTGGTACACAACCTGAGTTCAGGTTGTGCGCCAGCTTGGTGCGCATACTTCAGGAGGTCCCTTTTTATACTTTAAAGAAGGGTTCGACCTCAATCTCATACCCCATCCTACTACTTGTTCGGGGTGAAAATCATGTAAAAATATTATAATAGGTATAATAGGTTTCTTTCATCGCCTCTCTAGCAGTTCCCAACCTTTTAACGTTACTTGATCCACCAGACAGCCTTGGCATTGACTCCGTGAACTAGTAAATCTCAGATACGTGATAAGATATCACGAACGGTCTGTTTATGTTTCAAAATATTTCTGTTTTCTGATTTGACGTTAGATCGTTATGGGTGACATTCGTGATTTTTAATAATTGATTCAGCGGTTCCCAAACTATAGGTCGCGACCCACTGGTGGGTCGCAAAAGGAATCTTTGTGGGTCGTGAAACAAAAGAACAAAAATTTGCTACACAAAGAATGAGCATGTGGATTTTTAACGCATAGCAGTTTTGTACACTGTACAGCACTTCTTACCGTGTTCCCCAGACATTTGAATTTTATTAATTTATTAAAGTTAAATGGGTCGCATAAGATGTGATATTAAATAGCGGGCCCCAACTCTAAAAAGTATATAAGTGAATAGGTTCCATTACATTTGAACCCGTGTACATTTGAATCGACGTACATTTGAACTACGTACATTTGAACCCACGACAATTGCACCTGCATACTATTGCACCTATGAATTTTTTTTTTGTTTTACGGGTATTTGAACACATACTAACCCTAACCCATGGGTTTTAGCACCCGCATATAGATTGAACCCGCGGATATACACATGGGTTCAAATGTACGGTCACCAAGTATATAGATTATAACCATCATGCGTTCAACACTGCCTAAAAAATACTCAAATATATAAATCAAGGGTGTGCAAAAGGCGGTTAGTGAGCCAGAATACAGCTCTCCAAGCCATTCAGTCTGGTCCTTGGCAAAACTCAAATTTTTCCTCATCAAGAATAAAATCCTAATCCGACGTTTTATGTTTAAAAATGCTTTTACATGGGTAGAATACTTAATGTTTTTTTTTTCTCTTGCTTCTGGATTCGCGATTCAACGATTTTTCTAACAGTGTTTTTATCCTAATTCAACCAGCAAAGTGCAAACAAAATTTATGCGCCATTTAGAAAAGGTCTTGGCCTCCATCATTGAGAGCGGTAGACATCACTCGCCACCAATACACAAAAGCAAGTCAGAATATTGAACGCTCGGAATATTTTTTATAATCCTTTCACCATTCAAGTTAAATGGTATAGGACAGTGCTTGCCAACTTTTTTTCAAGCAAACCAAATATTCAAAAAAATTTTTTTTGTAAAAGATCGCGACCCAATGATATGCTGAAATACTGAACTTTTATACGGTACTTTAATGGTTGTAAAATTGATGGGGGTTGAGTGCCAGACCCCCCCCCCCCCGCTTGAAATGTAAAAAAAAATGTAAAAAACGGCTAACTTGGCACTTGAAAAGTTTACCCCCCCCCCCCCATAGAAAATTCCTGATTAGGGCCCTCGATGCTTGTTGAAGCCATGTTCAGAACAAATATGGGGGCTCTTTATAAATATAATACGAATTTGTTGAAAGATAATAATAAAACTATTAAATTTTTATCTTTAATTTTTTTCAGATGTAACAACAGAACCCAATGTTCATTTGAAGTTTCAACAGCAAATTTCCCCGACCCATGTCCGGAGACGCACAAGTACTTGAAAACATCGTTCAACTGTGTTAAATATAGTAAGTGGAGCATTTTGTATATCGCAAGTAGGGCTGGGCATTTTCGAATATATGATGAGATAGAATATGGAATGAAATAGAATCGAATATTTTTTCGAATCGAATTGAATGTCGAATACTTGGAGATATGTAGGTTTATTGATTGTTTTATTGTTATAGATCTTTCAGACACATAAATTAGTAAAAACACTTAATCTATCACTCAGACAGTTCGCTGAGTGTTCACACACAGTGAGAAACTTGTTTCACTAATAACTTACTCAAAAAAAAAAGATTTATACGTCAGAATTGCATTTAAAAATTTAACATGATCATGGTCATCACATATGGGATTCGGACCTTATCCTCAGCCAACGGTAATAAATAGTGCGGCGGTGAACATCGTACAAACGTGAGAATTAGCAAAGGCCAATTGCCAATGTTTTGGGGTCGTTAAAGATATTTTCTTATCCACTCACTTTTTACACATTTTCACCCCAAAATGCTTCCAGCATGACTCATTTTAATCAACATATTTAATAATACTATCAATTCAGCTATTGTGTCAAAAAATCTTGAATCGACATTTTTAGATATAAGGTCTGAAACAAAATTGTCCTGCAAGTCCTCATAAATTAGGATCGCGCTTTTCCAAGTTAGAGTATTGATAGAGTTTCAAACATTCATTGACAAAGTAAGAACTACGTTTATGTGCAAGTTTGCTCAAAGCAGGGTTCGAGCCCTCAACTAAAATTGGAGTGAAATTCAGTACTGATAACAGAGTTGCAATCACTGGGGGCCTATATATAACTTAATTTATCCGTGCTACAAAAAGTCCATTGTTGGCAACGTATATCCCACAAAAATACAAACACGAATAATTTTTTGTTAAAAGTGAATTTTAGTACACACAATCTCATTGTAATCACTTTGCCACCACACTCGGCCAAATTTTACCATAATTTTCTTAATTAGTCTCTCGATCGGGGTATTCTTCCTAAAAATTAACGTCTCCTCGACCTTATTTGTGTCCGAATCTTGACGCAATATTGATTAAATGTCCCAGATAGTCAAATTAAAAACATTAGGGCTATCTGAAGTAAATATAATTAAGCAGCGGAACTTGAATTTTAATTTTAAATTAGTCCGATGTGGCCTTTGGTTTGAGATAACAGGAAAGCTTTTCGCGGATAATCGTGAACTCTAGTTAGCCCTCGCAAGAAAAATATGTCAATTTAGAATTTGATGGCCATTTTGTGATATAGCGTTTCTTATCAGATCTTTTGTACAATGCTTCTACCAATAATGCAAAAATGTGAGATTTGAGAAAATTAAATCCGCTACGTTTTAAAATAACAAATTAATAATTATCCAGTTGGGTTGGGTTAGGGTTAGGAATGGTTCAAAAATTTGAAATTCCAGTCCAGTCTGCATTTATAACTCTAACCCAGGAGTTCCCGAGCTTTTTTCAGGACGACCCCAAAGACAACTTTCAAGTGTCCAGTGCGACCCCAAGTCAATATATATTCTTTTTCAATGAAACTTTATTCATGAAACTTTATAGCTTCTTTCACTAAACTTTTGAGTTTGGTCATGTGGTGGTATTGTATTATGGAAAATAAGCTAAAACCAAACAGTGATGTCAGAATAAGCACCTACATTTTCTATGGCACAAGCATAGAGCGATGCCTATGGGCCTGTTTTACAGTAAGCCATGTTACAAGCTGCTAAATTTAACATGGTTTGTCAAATCTTAGATGTTTTGTACATCTATCTTCTACCATACCTCAGCGACCCCACCGACCCCATGTTTGCGGCCTTGCCTAGTTATCACACCGACCCAATTTGGGGTCGCGACCCCTGGTTTGGAACCCCTGCTCTAACCCTATCTGAATATTTACTAATTTTTTTATTTTGAGGTTTGACGGAGTGTTTTTCTAACGGGGGCTTTGGGCAAGAGATCTCAGTTGTATACTATGATTGACATTCACATACTAAATTGACTAAATGTGATAGTTTTTGTGCAATGACCATTTTTGTTAGTTTCATACATCGGTGCTCCCGAAGTATGCGAACCAAGATGGCGGACATCGGAACGTAACATGGGTAACAGGTTAGGGTTAGGCGATAATTTTTTTCCAATTTTCCTTATTTTAGTCCTATTATTAGTTCGAAGACTAGCCAAGAGCCTCCCGTAGTATTTATACCTAAAATTATGGCCTAACCCTAACTTAGTACACATATTACATTCCGATGTCCGCCATCTTGGTTTGCATACTTCGGGAGCCCCCATACATCCTTGTTCAAATATTGGGTAATATAGGCGTAGAACTCGAAATTCTTGACCTCCGACGCCAAAATAATTATTTTGTTTTGGTAATCCCAAAATATCAAAAAAAGCTCAGTTTTAAACCCTTTGGCATGCGCTATAACTTTCTGGTTTTCAATCGTTCGAAGCGACCTTTTACAGTCAAATTTAGGTAATCCTCCTTCTAAAGGGTTCAAGTTTTGGTACCAGGGTCGTAACCAAGAGGGAAGTTGAGTGCCGGACTTTTTCAAAATGTAAAAAAAAGCATTTTTTTTTATCATACATAGCAATTTTTGATTTTTCGGAACTCTATAACCTTGAATATCTACATGCTGTTACGGCCTAACTCGACAATTGGAAAACTTTTGGCCACACCCCTGCTTTCGGATACCAAAACATAAAAGTTATGTTTAGCTAACTCCTTGGAATGCACTACACCTCCATAACAAATCCAACCTAATACTCGTTACAATTCTTCCCATTTACAAAAACAACATAATTACACACAATTTCGAAATTTCAAAGGAGGCCGACTTGATTGACAGTTGAAATTACTAAGAATAACTTCAAAGCCAATAATTCCTTCGATAAGCGTTTGCTGTTCAAGTTTTATTGAAGAAATAACGTAATTATTTGCAAAGACAACAAATTCTAGCAATACATGATAGAAGGGGCGTTTGTAATTGTCGAGTTGGACCGTAACAACTAAAACTATTGGGGTATCAAGAGTCTTTAGGGTTTAAAGAGCTATTCAAGCTACAAAAAAATGCTATATATAACACGTATATTTTTTACATTTCAAAAAGCAAATCGGAGGGGTTATCGTTTTAATAAAAGTTGTATAACGTCTCACTGAAATTTTAAGTTTTTTTACAGTATAAAATATTTTTTGATATGGACTCGAGGCGTCAATAGTTTGTCTTTATATCAACAAGAACAACTTCTAACAACGCTCGGAGTATCGAAAAGATTATTTTGAACAAAATATCAATTCATTCTCTTGAAAAAAAAAATTTGTTGTGTGTGTTTGAATGTTTTGAATCTCTAGTCAACCTTGTACTTTTGGGTTAAATCCCATACTAAGAGGCTACAATAGCCTTATTTGACACGATATAGGCGCGCAACGATACGGGATTAACAATTTCATAACCGGCTCGTCTGTGTCCCTAGCATCGCATCTACTCATTCATATAAAATAGAAATTATTAAAAAATTATTAAGCTAACTTTTGCATTCATAAATTAAACGGAAAACTTTTCAATTTGTCAGTGTTTGGATGTCCCGGTCCTGGGTTCAAATTCCATACCAACCACTCACGTTGAAAACAACTTTTTATTTTCCAGTGTTCGGATGTCCCGGATCTCTGACTGGAATTGGATCCGAAATCGTGACCGCAGTTGAAATTCAACCTCAGTCTGGAACTTGGACGAAAGATCCGCTTTCGAGTCCAGATCACGTGTTTTTCATGTCTTCCAGTCAACAAATAATACAGGAATACCGGAATTGGGATGATTTTGTAACCGGAAATCCTTCATATCGGTATAATTTGCCTTCGAAAGCAGCTCCGGGAAATATCGTCGTATATGACAGGAATTTATATTATGTAAAGGTAAGTGCGTTTACTGAGTTGCTTCATATTTAATGCACCACTTGCACCGCTTGTCGTACTTCTACCATTTGTACTTCTTTGTAGAAGTTTAAACCGTGCAAATTGATGCGTCGTTTATGAAAGGAATTTATATTATGTAACGGTGGTATTTTGACACGTCTTGAAAATGTCGTAACCGTAGTTCAAATCCAAAACTAATGGTATGCTTGAAGTTTAAAAAAGTCAATCCTGTCAAATTGTGCAAATCAATTTTTGTAACTTGTAACTTGCATATTGTGTATTTGATCTAAGTAAACCTAAATTCTAACCTGGTTCAAATTGAAAAATACCTCAGAAATTGCAGAAAATCTAGTTAATAAACCCATGCGGCCTACAAATATTTTAACTTCATATTTTTCGAGTCGCGAGGTCATTCTGAGGAATTCAACAATGCCGGCATTAACGCGACAATACTAGACTTAATAGTATAAGTTTGCCACGGTGTCACGCGTTAAGACGAAAAGTAAATATTATGTGATAAATTTCAAAGGCGGTAGTGTTTGGTTAAGTGTTGAAAGGCTTCGGTTGTTGGGTTTTTCACACTTTTTCACAGAGCAAGGTTTTGGAAAAGCGGTAGCTATTTTTAATATTAATAGGCACGAAGTAGACCTGTGAATCGTTTTGCTATTATGCTGTTGTTGATCATCATTTTGTTAGTATTCCTCATAGACTACTGGAGCAATTACTTTGAAAATCTTCAGTGGCTGAAGATTGCATTTTTCGCCAAAAGGATATACTTTTGTTTATTTTTGAAATTTCTATGGTTTCTATAAATCACTTTTTTTGTGCGATTACGTCATCAATTCTTGTGCACTCTGTGGCGATAAATTCGTGTTAGTCCTGAAATTTGGGGTACGTTTTGGACGCACTGCTTTTATGAATGTTTTGCTTCTTAAATAGCAAGTAGTATTTATTATACAAGATTATAATATTTAAGAAGCGTTGAGATCTTAGCCGTAACCTACCCAATTAAAAAGACTATAAAGAGTAATAGATATTATTCTGGTTACACGCACTAACTCAGAAGTGAAGGAGACTCATTTCTGGGAAAAGTAACGGGCAATCACTAGAAGGCCAAGACCCACACAAAGTATATAGATTTATAATGGTGCATTACGCGCCTAGAGCCAGAGCTACTGACACTATACAGATATATGTGGCGCATTACCTGATAGTAATTCTTTCATTTTAAGCCTCGTCTCCGCAAATCTTTTCCGCAAATATATTGCCATCTAATTATTCCTCATTATAAGATTATGTTTTACAATTCGTCGGGGAGGTCGCCTGACCCAAAGGATTAAAAAGGGTTTCGTATTTCAGTCTGGTTTTTCACACATATTTTACAGATAAGTAAATTGTACATTGTATGCATTTTTGCTCATCTTTTGGCGCCCAAGAAGTGTGTGTACCAATATGGAGGTAACTAATTTTGTTCGCATACTTTACATCTAGTTGTGTAAAGGGACTGAAGCCTATGGGCGGAGGGTATATTCACTTGGCTAACACAGACAGTCCTGAACTTGTAATAGAACTAAAATACGGAAAATCGAAAATAATTATGGCCTAACCCTAACCTTGTACACATACTACGGGAGTACCAAAAAGTATGGTCTCAAACATTACACTGAAATTAAAAAGAGTAGTGAATACCTCAGTTTAAAAAGCAATAACAGACACGCCGATTTCTGGTAAATTTTGGTAAATTGTATTTCAAATCCTCAAGTAGTTCAGGTAACCGAATATGACTCAGGTTATCATTGAAGCGTGATGATAACGTAATTCAAAATCTCTGACTGCAATTTCGCATGACGAGAGATATATGATATTGATAGGGATATATTTTCTCTCTCGATATTGTTGAAATTTTGTAACCGAAATGAAAACATTTCAATGCCCCATAAATTGTAGCTTACGTATCGGTGAATCTTCGTTTATAAAGAACGTTTAAAAACGTTTCATTAAATAGGAGTTGATAGGGCATGCTTGAGCACGCCTTCTTTGTTAACATGCGCGGTATTTAAAAAAATAATGTAACCTGAACATTTCGTATACCCAGTTCAAGGTAACAAATAGAAAACCCTCACTAACTTGAATTTTACTATTTATTACTGACATTTTAATACGTTTTTCACTCCATACAAGGCACAATGCAAAAGCAGACACTAGTATCTTGGGAGCTAATTTATTTGGGGATCATCGAAATATTTTTGGTTCGAAATTTACCACCCAATTTGTTACACCGCATCGTGGGTGAGGCTGTCGGTATGCGACCCCAAGAATTTATCAGTATGTCTTACCAATTTTACCAGGTCTTACAACAGTAAATGTTTTTCAGGCGAATTCCCGCAGTATCATTCGATACAGTCTGATCACTCAAAGACGAACAAAAGAAACTGTTATACAGGCAGAATCTGGCATCCCTCAGAATCGTGATATCTCCTTATCAGTAGATGAGAATGGACTATGGGTTATCTATCCACGACAAAGAGGCCTTATCACTATCAGTAAACTTGATAAAGATCAGCTAACTTTATCGGTAAGCTTTATTATCTATGTACATAAACGGTACTCATAGGCTGGGATTTTATTATTTGATTTGCTCCGACGACAATCCACTCGTATTTATTTTTAATCAACTAAACTATTTTAAACTATGTATGATACGGATTATTTTACATTTCAAGGGGGTGGGGGTCATGGGCTTGTTTGACCCCTCTCTGGCTATGTCTCTGAAAATACTGTTAGGGTAGTTGCAGGCACAATGTGCGGAGATCCACCTGGTAATCCTGTGGTCACTTTTCTGACACCCCTTGCTTGAAACTCGCAAACTCAAAGGGATCGATAGGATACGCTTTCGCGGTCTGTATTCATACTGGATATCCACATCAAGTGAGCTTTTGCCCTTTTGCCCTTTCGTCTTCAGAGCGGATCGCCGGCGACGGAACGTTGTCGGCTTAATACACCAGAATAAATACATATGGCATTTTCACATTGGTGTAAACATGGGACACCCGTTCCAACCAACGAAAAAGAACTGTGAATCAAAATAATGGCCCTAAAACCAGATCTATAGCCTGTATCGGAGCCACAGTGATCCATGGGAGAAACCTAGAGGATATTGTGAGCTATTTGTTTATCAATTGAAATGCTCGCTTGGCTAATTTTGTAGCTTTCTAAATAAGCAATAAATACATTCCAGTCATTAAATAAAGTATTTCACTCAAGAACATTTACCGGTGAGAATGTCTTTTTTTTGTTTTTATTTTTATGAATTTATTGTGAATCTCCGTAAATAATAGTCAACCACTTCACGAGCTCCATAACACCAAAAGTTTGACTGACCCTGGTTGAAGGTACACGTTTTGATAAATTGGGTCAAAGTAAAAATAATTTTCAATTTTCCTAATAAATAAAACCTTTGGTGCTCGCCCAACAAAAAGTAACCACCGAAACGAGGCCAGAATTCCATTATAATATATCGGAGAATTCCAAATTTAACATTTTGTCGTATGGCATTTTTATAAGTGCAAATTATTTTTTGGGCTCATGAATAAATTATGTTGAAATGTCAGAATTGACTTGACGATCAGTACGTATTGGGATTTGACACTCCCACTACCAATACAAAAGCTTCCAAACGCATATGGTATCTTCTGCTAAAGCCCTTTAATTGGCGCTCATAATCTTGAGACTTTGGGGCTGAGGGGTCTTGGGGCTAAGGCCGGATTGTGCCCTTTAAATACACTAAGCACTTAAGACCTTGTTGCCCTAAGTTTGTCGTTCGAAATATTAGAGCAATAAGCTACAAAATATTGTATTGTAACGATAAGTACATATATGACACTTTCACCGTCATAAGAAAGCTTTGTATATATGACCGCATATGTAGTCTTCCGACAATGACATTTAATCGGTGCTTAGAATCCTGGGGCTAGGGGTCTTAGTACGGATAAGACACTCCCGCCATGAAAAAAAAGCTTTATATATCCAATTATATATTGCCTGTCAATGCATTTTGATTGGAGCTTAGAATCTTTGGGCCTGAGGGGTCAAAGCCTTAAATTTAGGGTATTTGGACTTTCACATAGAAATATTGCTTCGAGGCGAGTGAATATTACTTATGACAATACGAGTTGTCGTCTGCAACTGTGAGTATTTTTCTGCTTCTGGTTGATGGTTCTTAATTTTCAATTGATTCAGAAAAATTGAATATTAAAAAAAATTGGCGCATTTTATTTATGTTTTGAAAACCAATCTTGCGATTTAACTTGCACGGAACATGTTCAAAATGTGCATGAGGCCACATCTATTATTATGATTCCGAGCATCAGCATTGAAACGTCAAGTTTTGTAATATGACATCTTAGTGATGATGATGACGTTAATATTGATAAATATGACGTCACAAGAGATATAAGTTTAATTTCACAAAAATTGTTTTGTACAATTTGACAGCTTCAATAGGCCGTGAACAGCTAGTTTACTAAGCTGAAAGAAATGTATCGATCAATTAAATCTGTTTTATTCCAATTCAGAAAACTTGGAACACGAACCTTCGAACATCCGAATCACTGCACACCTTTATCATATGCGGAGTTCTATATTCTGTCAGTTCGTCGACTGGACAAATAGACTATTTTTACAACACGAATCTCAAACAAGAAAAACGAGGAATTCGAATCTCATTTGACGCCGACCAGGCCTATAATTTCAGAAGAAGGACCCGCAGTCGGACTTCGTTCCGACGTTACAATGCTACATCTGTATCTTACAACCCAAGAGATCAGCTGCTATACATATGGGATGGCGATAGTGCTAATGCTGTGTATTATAAACTGCATTTTGATAGCCAGGATCCTTCAAAGCGTAAGTGTTTTTATGTCTCATATTTAATATACTTCTTCGAACAGTTGGGTCACAAACCTTTCAAGCGCGATCATTTTTTGAAATTTGTCAAGTCTCACGCCCACCTCAAAAATAACTAGCTAACAATAGGCTACAAAAACAGATAGTATGGCAAAAAACACGTTTAAAATCATGGGTGGAATAGCAATCTCTAAACTGAGGAATAAAAAAATGTAAATATTCAAAATAATTTGAGCAAGATCAAATCTAACAAAAAATTTTATTTTTAATTAGCTATTTCCCCCTCAAAAAAATTTCTACACTCCCTCCCCTTGTGAGCCACGCCCCACCATTTGGGAACCACTATCTTAGAACGTTTGTGTTACTCTCTACCGATTGTCTTTCAACGTTCAGTTGAGGATTTAATCAAACCTGCATACATTATTATTACTCTTGAGTGTGTTAGCGGTTTCAACTTTTCTATCAACAGTCTTTCTACTTCTACTTCCATGGTCTCGGGGTCTTGCTTCGAGTAAAACATTGTACAATAAAAAGGATGTCCCAATATGTTCTGATTCAGTCTTTTTATTTTGTCGAACATTTTTTTAATAAAGTGATAAAAAGTGAGCGTTTTTGAAATAAAAATATTGATGATTTCTTCTAACGTTTTCAAGAGAAAATATAGATTATTCCTTTTATAAAGAATCCTTCATAAATATGATACAATTTGTTTAAGAATTACAGGATTCGGGCACATTTTTAGATTTTATTTGCTGTACTTTGAACTTTATTTGCTTTACTCCCGTAGTGTGTGTATCAGGTTAGGGATAGGCCATAATTTTATTCCGATTTTCCATATTCGTACAGACACTTCGGCAGCGTCCAATTAATTGTGTACAAAGTTTTGAAGAATAAAATGTTTTCTCGACCGTCGACCATCTTTTAGATAAATTGGATGGTGTGATAATGTTATCATAACGACAAAGAATTAATCTATTATGCCCATTTTTACAGCTCATGTGGTCACAACGACCAGACCAACAACAACCATGACAACCAGACGTAGATTGCCCCCAAGAACCACGCGACCAGTCCTTGTTACCAACCCGACCACAGAAATACCAGAAGTAATTCCCCCAGGTATATTTTTGGTTGCAGATATTGAGACATTTAGATTCTAAATTTTCTTTTTCTTTAATTAAAATTGAGAAGCAAGTGTCGAATGTCGAGTTTTCTAGATATATGTACTAACTTGTACAGCGTCAATAGTTGTAGTGACTTTTACGCGAATCAACTTCTCTTCTTTTGATACCTTCCGATGACCCTCTAGAATTCTTATAAGAAGTAACATTATCAATATATTTATTTGCAGTAATCCTTATTCGGCACTTGTATTTTTGAAAATGGACAATGATAAATTGATTTTGTATGGTTCCATAAAATTTGCAACCAATAGGGTTTTGCTATAAAAAATGTTGAGATTAAGTTAATTCGTTGAATAGTTCTTAGACCGGGAGTATGTTAGTACAAAACCCAAGGTTCTCGCAATGAACAACAGCACTATGCGACCATTGCCCCTCAACGTATATAGTTTATAATATTCAAATATTTATTTTTCTTTCAAGACGCATTTCCTCGGCCAGTCGATTACTGCGGATCTACAATGAGAAATGGCATCAGCTGGCCACAGACCAGCGTCAGCGAAACTGCGAGGATGCCTTGTTTGGATGGGACAGGAGGTAAGATATTAAAATGATCTTTTCACTGACAATTTGGTGCGGCGTTTTTGTGGTTAAGCGTAATACCTAACATAATAATCAGGTGTTTAAACGCCGTTTTCATCATTTCACCCAGGATAAATGAGAAATAGGCAGTGCCGAACGAAAAGTTTCGAAACGGAACTGAAGTAATTCCATATAATAATAACTCCTCACACACAATAGACTTCTTATATAGAGCCTTGTTTGGAGTCCCTCAAAAATAATATAGAAACTCGGTATATCGGTAGTCACAATTGTATACAGCCGGATTTGGCAAAATATTTATTCTGATCTCCGAATCATAAACAATTTATTCATATATATATATAGACGAAAGAAATCCAATTAACCATTGTCAGCGTATTAGTTTGATATCAAGGTGAAACCCGTATGCTGGCCTTTTTTCAGAATATGATTATCCTGACAGCATAGTCGACCAGTTCATTGACCCCAATTTTGAACCTGTGCCCCCAGATGCGTACGATGACGTCATAGGTAACCATAGTAATTAGAGGCGTGTAGTGAGAACATTGTGATCAATACTAAAGTAATTGATCCAATTTTCAAAAAAAAATTTTGTTATTTTTAAAATTTGATGACCTAATTTTTATATTGACTTCACTTCTGTTGTAACTTATTCTCCCCGATTCTTATGATGATGTCATAGGTAACCATGGTAACGAGAGGCGTGTAGTGAGAACATTGTGATCAATTTGAAAGTAATTGATCCGATTTTCAAAAATATTTTCATATCATTTTTATATTCTGATGACGTCATTGTGATAATAACGTCATATCCATTGTGATCAATATAATAGAATTGGTCACTTTACTGAACATCGTGATACGTTTTTTTGACAATTTTATTTATTACCAAAGGCCATAAACAGATACTATAAATTCCTTCTAAATTTTCTGAATATTTTTATATACAATATAGTTTATCTTACACAGCCGCCGTATCCTCCCTACCTGCTTATTACAGATGACAAATAGGCTTTTGAATAGCTCGCTTTACAAATGTCCGTGCTAAGCTATCATTGTGAGAAGGTTGTAATTTGCTAACACAGACCTATAATTTTATAATATTGTATACGCGAACCATGTGTGGGGTTTCAAAAGGTATTATTGGGCTTGTTTATCAACATTGTTATATTTCTACGTTTGAAACCAAAATTGCCCCTTCATTTTTGTAAAACTTAGCTACGTTACGCGCAAACATGAAGCAAATTGACCACTAAGAATAGCAAGGTCACGCCCAGTCACACAAAAGTAATGGAGACTCTGGAACTATATAGAAACGTGGTGTATTACCGATTTTTGATCTCACTCAAGGGAACCTCTATGAACGAAACCAATTTGCCAACGCGAACCTATATTTTTATATTTTGTATACGTGAACCATATGTGGGGTTTCAAAAGATATAATTTGACATGTCTATTTCTCTAGCATATTTTTGCGCGCGAAACCTATCTTTTTATGAAATTTGTAACGAATCATGCGTGCGTGTAAAGGAATCCAACCTCAAAGTAATCACATAGACAAACATTGATATAACTGAATAACTAAAGTTACTGAAATCAGGACCTAAGTCTGGGTTTGGCAATTATTTATTACTCAACCTTTTCACGAGAAGTAAGTCAAGTGCGTACATTTATGTGGACTCCAATTACTTAGCTCAGTCGACCTCACATGTGAACTTTTTCGTGTAGAAAATGGTACTAATGGTGTATGATGTATGATGGTACCCAAAAGTTTCAACAAACAAGCCTATTTTTCATAAAAGTTGTGTTTTTTCTAGAATTCGTCCCAAATGATCTTGTTTCCGTTTATTTTAAGCAACCCTGTAATTTACTTCTCATTTTACGGTTTACGTTACTTGACACCAACACTTATGATAATTTGAGTTAGTTGTTGTCATTTTGAACAGGTGATATGCTTGAATAATTACGGTCACGTGACCTATCGATTCGCCCATAACAAGGATCATTTTTTGGATTGACTCTTGTATTTTATAGCCCCCACAACCTTCCCCTCGCCCATCCTTGAAAGTAATTTATTTACCATATTCTTACACAAGGCGAAAAATGAGAGTTGAATTTAAATTTTTTGGCCACCTCCCCAATTACCAAAAACTCAGCAACAAGGGCATAGCAACTACTGCAATAATATATAAGTGGGTGTTATCTTTACACGGAAAGTGAAAAATTCCTAATTCGTCATTAGTTGATTAATTTGAATTACCTTTACGTAAATGTAAATACCAGGTCTGAATTCAAATGTTTGGACACTCTCCCAATTTCCAAAAAACGACCGTGTTACTTCAAAATGTTTATTCCAACTTATACATCGTAAAATTTCAGTCTATTTTTGCTTCTTTTTCATAGCAATGTCAACACGGTGACCGTACATTTGAACCCACGTACATTTGAACCCATGCGTATATCCACGGGTTCAATCTATATGCGGGTGCTAAAACCCATGGGTTAGGGTTAGTATGGGTTTAACTATCCGTGAAACAAAAAAAATTCCATAGGTGCAATAGCATACAGGTGCAATTGTCATGGATTCAAATGTACGTGGGTTCAAATGTAATGGAACCGTCAACACATACCACAAACGGAGTCCAAAAATATTCGAAAAAAATACATTTTCAATTTAAGTGTTTTATGATTGTCGAGAAGATAGACACGCCATGACAAATTTTGTAATTAATAATTTAAAGAATTTTGACAGTAAAGTATAAATAAGATACCCCTTGACTGTCAGGCGATATTTTAATTTCTTATACTGTTAAAGAACGTGTTAATCTAACTAGAATTTCGATGTGAATATTTCTATGGAAGCTTTGATCTGGGGGTTAATTACTGTGTTGTCGTTGCTAGGATTCCTGGGGTCATACTCGATATCTTTGATTTGCCCCTGCACAGGGGGTTTAGTCTGAAGGATCGGAACCCCGTCCCCTTTAACACACGGTAACCGACAATGAATATGAAATATAGATATGAATAAAAATAAATATTCATTTTATTTGTTGGCCTTTGCAAAATATGCCTGTTAGTCTCATTCAATGCCTTGAAAATCGAGAGGGAATCGGCAAATCTTTTTTGCAATTTCACTTTTCATGCGGATATTTTGAATGAATATATAATTTAAAGTATTATGGCTCCAATTTAGTATTTTCCATAAATATTTCTTCAAGGCCTTTAAATTGCCACAAGAAGAATCGAGCCGACATGATGTCAATGTTATGTCAAAATGATTTTGTGTGTTTCATTTATTCTGGTGTCTCCAATAACAGCTAAAACGTTTTAAAAAGATTAAAACGTAGTTTTCCAATCAATTTTTATTAATGAAATTATACCTTCCCCTGCTTGTTTGGCGTCTTTGCTTGAGCAAATGAATAGCAATATATGCATATGTAAAACATATTTTTCCTCCTTTTTACAGCTGTTGCAACATGGAAGTGTATTCGTGAACCATCGATGCGTGAAGCAGCATGGCACGTGGCAGGTCCCGATTTGTCAAAATGTATCACCTGGGCAAGTGACGTTGAAACAAAATTCAATGCAGGTAATGGACGAGCACTCGCCTTAGGCAAATGACTGGAAAATGAAATTTCTTCAAAACTTCATTTTGCTTAGGACAAAGTTCTTGAAAGTGCTTTTACACTTTATAAAGCAAGCCAAATATTTCGCTATATTGCACTATACCATTGCAACTGATTGCAACTCTCAGCTAGGCCGATTGAAATTCTTCTATTGCATCCTTTCCAACTTATTTGATGCCTCGGCAGCAGTAGCGTAACTACCTAAAATTGCACCCATAGCAACACTTAACGTTGACTGACATTTTCCAACATCTGTTGTTGAGTTGACACACTTTTTAGAAAAAATTACGAGTTTATTATTTCCAATTTGAGATTATTTTATTTGAATATTTCACAATTACAAATTTTGCGCTCCTTCCCAAACGGCGCCCATGCCACGAGTATTAGCTGTCATACCTCTGATACACCATTGTGTCTCGGTGGCAAACTCGCTCTCTGCAATCAGTACTATTTATCCTCTTTACAAAATATTTAAAAATAAATGATGCATTTCTACTTCAGGTCTTATTGAGCGGGCATCCGCCTTTTTTTCCCTTGCTTCACAAATATCAGAAGAAACTGAGTTTACAGAAAAATCAATCCAAGTTGCGACAGAACTGATGAAAAAACTATTGGAGGATCCTACGCTGCCAAGCAAAGCTGATGCCAAGAAAATCGTTGAGGTGAGATATTGTGATGTGTATATGACGTCATAAAGTTGATGACGTAAATGATAGTTATCTGCAAATGTCATGAAATTGATGATTTGTCATGAAGATTTTTTCAATACGAAATTTTCATGATCATATATATTGTGTCATTAAACTAAGGACGTAATATGGTTGTATTCTTAATCTATACTAACCTTATATATTGCGGCATCTGTTTGATGAAGTAACGTGAGCCTTCAGCTTCAGCGTAATGTTTCTGAAATAAATGATTTTTCAAGCAAGCATTTTAGATGTTTAAGCAAACTTTGTAACTTCATTAAACGTAAAACGTAACTTGTTGCCCAAAATCTCTAAAATTGCCAAAATTGTAAAATAATTCCTTCAAAGCAGCCTTAAACAATGTCTTGAGGGATTCAAAAACTCGGGTTAATTACGCGAGCTTGTCCGTCCTAACCAAAATTAAGTTGGAAGTAATGAATCCTAATTAAATCCCTATTTGCGTAAGTAAACTCGAGGCAGAAGTGGTCAAAACCAAACAAGATTTGAGTTCGCGTTCCGGCTGTCAATTGTAAGAAAACTAAAATGTTCGCGAAATGAATGCATAGCCAAATACGATTGCCAAAATTGTTGGAACGTTACGCGAGATTACTTATCCTTCTTCTTAACCAGTGGTTGTTAACCGGGGTTCCGAGGCACCCTAGAGTTGCTATGTGCAGTCTTTAATACGGGAGGGCCAGATACAAATAACTGGATGAACCGTGGGTTGCACTTTTATTTAACATAGGCTTTCTAGTAGGCACATACATTTTGAATATTGATTTTATAACATGTGTTATTTGCTTCGCAGAAGCTAGCTGTTGGGCATTGTAGCGCCATTGACACTTCTCCGCGGGACCTCCCTCAGGCTTCACCAATACAGTCCAGGGGGGCTGCAAGTTTGAATTAAAATTGATAGTCTATACCAGGGCTACTCAACTATTTTCACCAAAGGTCCGTTTGGAAAACCTCAAAGTTACTGGGGTCCGCAGTCCTACTCCGCACATTATTAAAATTTTATTTTTTTTAATAAACGAAACTTCAAATGCAATATTAAATTCAGTACAAGAGCAATGAATGGCTCACAATATAGACACTAATGTCGCACATCGGTACCAGCACGACAAACTGTATAGCTGTGTATTTGAATTGTATCAAAATCACCTAAAACTATAAAACGATGCTTATGCTGCCAAAATAACACAAGCACACGCGGTCCAAATTAAATGGTCGAAAGGTCCGGATTCAGACCGCGGTCCGCCAGTTGAGTAGCCCTGGGGTATACCAGTGCTTCCCAAAATTTTATCGCTTGTGAGTTGTGACCCACTCCCGGAGACTTTTAGCACTCATGACCCAACCTCCCTCAAAGCACCCGGTTTCATTATTCCAGTGGTATTTATAGTGTTATTTTGATCGATAGATTCAAAATCCACGGGTCACAGGCTCCAGTTGAGAACTGCTGGTTTAACAAAGTCTAATATGTATATTGTTTTAATATAATCAAATGACTATTAGGTCCGCCACTTTTATTAAACTTGCGACACTCTGAACTTTGAAGATCATTTTGTGTTGCTAATATTAGGTTTGCTTTGAAGTTTTTAGTGGGAAAGATTATACTTTTTGTTAGAAGGCTATTACATTTTCTTTTATATATAATTGGTCTCACTCAAGGCTAACACAGCAGTTAGTGTTGTTGATAAAATGATTTGAACTACACTATCCAACTTATCAGAAATTTGCATGTTGCGACCTTACTTTCAAAATGTCGCGCCAAATTTGGATTTAGTTTTGAACTTTAAATTTGTATTTCGATTAGGTCGGGTTATTGGAACGAGATTGGCTGCATTTGTACTGTTGTACTGAGATTAACTGACATTACCTTTATTGCTATGCGCGCGTATGCAAATTTTAAATACGGATTTGTGGAGTTTTAGTTTATTTAATCTCAACAAGAGACAAATTTATAGAGACTGTATTATTCAAATCTTATAGGATTGAGTTAACTTTAATTCTGTAAACGCGTATGCAAATATCTCCTTTAAATTAATGTTCAATTCGAAATTATGACGTTTTACTCATCTTTTTTATGAGTATAAGCAGTTGCTGATATGCAATCTACTACTTCTGGAGATTCACTATATGTTACACTGTATGAAATTGTGGCCATTAGGTTTAAACTTCAGATATTTAAATGTACAGTTTGAATTTAAATTCAATTTCGACTTTTCCGCTTTTTCTTTTGAACAAGACAATGCATAAGTATAGTCATGTTTTTGGAGTTTCACAAGATATTACACTTTGATAAGAGGGGAACGTTATGTTTGAACTTTAAATATCTAAATGTACAATTTGAATTAAAATTCAATTCCAATTACGACAATCTTTTTATCTAGACAGGGCTCTGCAAAACTAGACGCTAATTTGCATATTACGATCCCATTCTTAAAAGTTTTCCACGACTTTGGTTTTAATTCAAATCTTCTGAGATTGAGTTCACTTTAATCTTATAAACGCGTATGCAAATATCTCGATTAAATTAAAGTTCAACTTCAATTACTGTAATGCCTTTGTGGAATTTTCCCCGATTCTTTTTTTCAAAATTGGCTCACACTCTGGAGAAGGTAGTCGCATCACAATGCGACAATGTGCCATTTCAAGTAACAACGACATTTTCGAGGATTACATCTACATAAAAAGAAGCTAAGTGAGAAGCTGAAATGCTGTCACAGTGCAAAATAAATTATCACAATAAACTATATGACGTCATATAGCATATTGACATTTTGAAGTACAAATTTCTATACTTGGCTCAGATCCGATAGACTGTCCAGAGATTGCCAAATCCTTTACGATCCTGGCAAGATCTTAATTCAAAGCTAATAAGGTTGCAAGTAATCGATATGTCTACGCAGATCCTAAGTTAAAATCAATGTAAATAGCTTTATATTAGCAAGCGGTAAGACGTGTCGGGCATTCTCCAAAGCTTTGACAGGCGGTTAAAACCTCATGAGCATATTCTGGATAGTGTGAGTGAAACTTGATGGCAAAAGAATGAATGCCGTAACAAAAAAAAACTCTGCAAACGTAAGCCGTCTGGAATCAAAATTTTGGATTGCAATTTAATCAAATCTTAAAAATAATGCAACAAAATGGGAAAACTCCAACTCCACAAAAAAATCTAAAATATCTCTCCTATAAAAGACTTAACTTTTCGAAAGCAAATCAAACGATGCTGTGAAAGAAATAATAATTCTAAATCAGCATTTCCATCTATATAAGTTATCAAATCACCACAAGTGTTATATATCAGTGTTCTTCAAACTATTCTCATCACGGCTCAAAATTGTTTGTCGACCCCTGGGAACTAAAATAAGAATAGAGTAAAATTTAAAAATACGGAAAATAATAAAAACAATAATGATAAAAATGACAATACCTTCAATAAGACCAATGTGCTGGCATATTCTCGCACAAAAGATCGAATCTTGGCTTTATTTCGATGTCTTGGTACTGGTTTCAAATCTTTTAAATTTGATCGATATTTTGTTTTAACATAAGTTATTGTCAAAAATATTATTTTACCGCGACCCCCAATATAGCCCTTTCGTGACCCACCTGGGGTCAGGACCCTCAGTTTGAAAAGCCATGTTCTATATGATTGTTACTCCACAGCAAACCGATCCTATAGTTTAAAATTCAAATGTGAGTGAGAATCAGGTTTTTTAAAACACAAATTGCTATAAATTTTTATCAATTGCTCTTTTAGTTTGGCGATGAACTGTATGGAGCTATGATCTGGTTCCGAATAGGATTTAGACGAGAATAAATAACTCTTGCACAGGGATTTAATGCATTCGAATCAATCTCTAGGGCTCCCCCAATTATTCGTAACCAATTATGACTTACTTTCCATCTCATTGCCACAGTGTTAAAATTTTCCGCTTTTTGATGTTCAGTTATTACATGACACTGTGCCCTAATGCAAAATCATTGTGAAAACATAATTTAATTATGAGGTCAAAGTACGTTTGTTCGTTTTTTCAAATGAATACACTGTTTTTTCATAATCTAATTTTTATACCATAATTTTAACCAAATTTTAAATTATTAAATTATAAGGCAACGGCGTCTAACAAATCAAATTAGGCCAAAATAATAAACTTTCCGAGTGAAAACTCAAGACAGAAACTCGACATTGCTTATTGAGAATGTTTAACATTATGTTTATTAAAATATGTGGCATTTTTGACAGAAAAACGCCTTTTTATGAATTTTGCCAGTTTTTATCAATGATATGTGGATTTATACTTTTTTGTTAATGTATTTGTGATATTTTCTTTATTAACTTTTATTTAAGTTATTATTCTTTGCGTTAGCGCAGAAAGTAATAAACACCTTTTAGTAACAGACAGTTTTTCTGTGTATTCTCACATTGCAATCCACTAAAAAAACTTGGTAACTTTTGGGATTTTGTTGGAAAAACAATTGACGCAAGAAAAATTGCAGGCAACCCAATTTTGGGTAACGACACATAGGTTGGGAAACAATGGAGTAGCCAATGCGAAACCGTAAATGTGCGAGCATGATATCCCTTTAACTAGCAGTGGTCTGTTGAGTGCATTGTTCAGAGAAAAAAAATATAAATATAATATATAAAAAGTACGGTACTCACGTAGTATGTGTACCAGGTTATGGCCATAATTTTATTTCGATTTTCCTTATTTTTATTCCATTACCAGTTTGTGGACTGTCTGTGTTAGCCAAGGAAATATACCCCATGTCCATAGGTTTCAGTCCCTTTACTCAACTTGATGTAAAGTAGGCGAAAGTTACCTTCATATTGATACATCTACTTCTGGAGCGCCATGCCTTGTTCAAAGAGAAAATAGTATAAGTATCTCCTATATAAAATGCGCACCAAGATGTCGCACAACCTAAATCCTAACCGGTACACACATACTATGTTTAGGTTGTGCGTCATCTTGGTGTGATTACTCCTGGAGGTCCAAAAGTTCATCACATGTCTTTATTCTAGAAATAAATTGCTATTCTCTCTCTTAACAATGTCGATTGCGCTTTCAAATTGAATTATTCAATTGTAAGAAGCCAGTAATGTATTTTCATTCAGACATAATATAACGTCACTGGACGACATGTTAAATTATTCATTCCAAAAACGTCTGGAACGGTCTCACATAAAGCCTCAAGAAGTCGAAAAACGACCTATTTGAAATTTGTTCTAAGCAAGTTCCAATACTAACTAATAGCTGGATATCAAATTTTCGTATATGAAGTGAACCTATGGATCGTTTGCTATTATGTTGTTGTTTTTGTTTTTTTTTGCAAAAGATCGAGGTGAATTCTACAATTTTCTTCATTGAAGCCATATTTTACATTGCAATTTGGACATACGGCTCGTTTTTCCTTAATAGTTAATGCTAAAACATGTTTTTCGTGTATAAACGATCAGCTACCTGACTGGGCAATGGAATCTATGTTTTCAGTAACTTAAGTGCCAGAATGACCAATTTCAGTAAAAAAGTATTCAATATTCGATTCGATTCTGAAATCATCAGGTATTCAAAAATGGCCATACCCACTCTCGGCTCCATTCCAGATTCTAAAAAGTCACTCCAACTCCGAGCTTAGAAATTGGACACGAAAACTGATCTGAGAGCTATTTTCCAAATCAATGAGATATTCCAATTATCGATATTCTGAATGTCAAAAAACACTCTTCATGTAACTGTGTTTTAATTTACTTGTGACTTATCGAATATAACAAATAGACGGAAGTGACCGTGTATGCATAAGAGTGGTTATACGTATGTTGGCGACCTCCGAACAATTTGATTCATCATTTTTTTACTAAATCTTTTATTAATATTCGATGTAACATTTTTTTAGTCCGTGACCACAATTTCAAGCAAATTACTGAATTTTCCTGAATCAATGAAAAGTATGGAAAAAGATGAAAAAACTCAATTATCAAATTTACTGATGAATGAAATAGAAAAAGCTGCGTTCCTTTACGCCGATACTGTTGCCATGACACCCGCTGGCACAAGAGACAATGGTAAGATACTATGACGTCATTTGTTACATCATATTAATTGTTAAAATTTTCAGTAATACCGTTGTTTTTATGACGTCACGAATGTCAATGGTTTTTAAACTTCTACTAAGAAATGTGTATTGAACATGACGTCATATTTTTTTATTTACAAACTTTTTTAGATCCTTTGATAATTGCAAAGGACCAAGTTATAATACAAGTGGACGTGAGAGAGAAGTCATTGCAATCTATGACGTCAGGTTCTGTGACGTCATTTCCAAATGAAAAGACTTGTGCAGGGATCGACAATTGCGGATCTGACGTAATCAGACTTGCAGATTCTGAAATATTGGGACAAAAAGGCGAAGGTATGTTTTAAAGAGAAATACAACAGGACCGTTTGCTGATTTTACACCAGTTGTTTTGCTGAGATTACACCAAGCGAGTATGTAGAATGTAAATATACAAATTATTATGTGAATATTATACACCCAAGGTGTAATAAATTAGATAAGATCTGACTAGCCAAAAAAATTCCCTCTCTCGAGAAATGGTACCCTATTGCATAACTGTCATTGGCTAACTGTTTGCTGTGGTCGGCAAAATGTGGCCCGTTGGCCAAATGCGGCCCGCGAACAAATTTTTCTGACCCTCAAAGAAACCTCATTTCTAATGCTGCCCATTGACAAAGATTGATCAAAATTTTCACGTTATCTGCGCACGGATGTATGCCCTATCAATGGCTGTTTTGTGGCGTTCGTTTTGTATTAATTGGCGTGAGCGAAAGCGCATGTCAGTTGTATGTTGTTTACTTCCTGAAAGTGATTACCGCTAGTCGTAATTAACACAGAAATAGGAGTTGCAGGTCCGTAATAATTTGAAGTTTAATGCGGGGATTATTTAGAGGCGGGAATTAATGCTGGCACGTACGCTACTATCACTGTTCATATTTGCTGTTCATACTTAAAATTTCTCGACCACTGGCAGTGGCGTGTCACTTTCCTGCTGCCCGGGGCAAGTTTCTGATAAAGCTGCATGTTATATCAGACTTAAAAAAAATGGGGGATAAGCAAATTATAGATGTTGTTATAGGCTACAAGAGAATAAATAAATTAAAAGACAAATGAGAGTAAAATGTTTGTTAAATTTATTTCAGGTCCAGCTACAGTCGTATTCGCTTTGTATAACAATCTGGGAGACTTCCTCAACCAACCGGATGATGTAGATCTAGATGACGACGACACTAAGAATGATGACGTCACTAATGACGTCGCCATATGGGAAATTGACTCTAAAGTTATTTCGGCAACGTTTAGACAACCAGGATATCAAACGCACCTCAGCAAACCAGCAGTTATTGTACTGCAACATAAAAAGGTATGTGCGTAACAATGAGTCGAAGTCCTTAAATCTCGAGTCGCGAGTCAAGACGGAATTCGGAATTTTCGGATTTGGGGTCGAAAACTCCCTTTTGAAATGTAAAAAAAAAGCATTTTTCTGTATCATGTATAGCAATTTTAGATTGAAACGATTTTTAGACTTTCAAGTCTCAAGCCTCCTGAAAACTCGCGTTTACCGGAGGGCGTTCTAACTTGGTATTAATTGTAAATTTCAACCTCCACCTCCTTCGAAACATTTGTGCATTCTCATCTAGTTTTCCCCCTAAATTTGAAATATTAATTTTTCAGGCGTCACATTCTCCACATCGATGTGTGTTCTGGGATTACTCTGAAAGGTTAGTATGATTGAATATTGCTAGTAGATAATGATGTTTGAGTCGGAGGGGTTTTACATGGGAACATACATTCATCGCAGCTATGAGTGTGACTATTATGAAAGCATCTCTGGCCATATTTGCCTAATTTTGCTCAGAGAAAGGTACTCCCGAAGTATGTGAACCAAAATGGCGAACACCGGAACGTGGTATGTGTGGCAACTTTGCCAAAATATGATACTTCCTCACTTCTTAGCGATTAAGTGCGCGTGGTATTGCATTTGGCAAATAATAAAAATTCATACGGTTGATCAAGTGTTAATCTTCAAAATATCGCCACTCCATCCAGTTTAGAGAACCAAAAAGATTTCCCGTACTCGCAATCTCTTTTTTACACTGAATACTTATTTTGGAGACAATCTCTTCGCAACAACATATTACCAAGTAGTGCCCAACACAGGACGTTGCAATATGATATGTAGGCAACTTGCACATTTGTTCTCACTTAGAGAGCAAAATTTACTTCAAATGAGGGTCAAACTTGCCTCCGAAATGCCCTAAACAATCACTGCATTGATATAATTTATTATTCCATTACAGCACTAACTCTGGCAACTGGAGCGACGTCGGTTGTCGAATGAAAGAGAACAACGAGACCCATACAACCTGTGAATGTGATCACCTGACAAGTTTTGCGGTTCTTGTAAATCACGCGGGAGTTACCATAGCACCCATCCACGACATGGCGCTAACGATCGTAACAAGTGTTGGGATCTCTATCTCCATCGTGTGTTTGCTTCTGTGTATTCTGACCTTCTCGTGTTTCAGGTTGGTATTAAACTCATTATTATAAATGTTGTGTCGGGGTTTGACATGTTTCCAATGGAGTCGGAGCTCAGCACAGTTTTCAAAATGCCCAGAGTTGGGTATTTGGCAAGTATGATATTGATTGCACGGCGGTGTCTCTTGGCATACAAGTTGATCACATCTTCGAAACGTGTTTTTGTCCTGAAATGTATATTTGTGTGTAATCTTTAACGTTAGTATTTGGACTCTTTTTTAGTGTTTTGTGAATTTTGTAAGGATGTTATTTAAACATTAGTTACTGTTTGCTTTTTATCCTTTCCAATATTTTGTTGGCAGTTGGGTCATCTTAAAAACTCTTGGGTCCCTTTCTTGAAGTAAAACCACGCAAGAACTTCAAAACCTTGTTGAGAGCAATTGAATCTATAGCATCGCAGCTTTTCCACGTCGCTTCATATAGGTCATTCACTATCGGCGCAAAGATATTGTCATTGGGTACTTGAGCATACCCTTGTGTCGCGCGATTTTACAAAATTTAATTTTTAGAAAATTTGTGTCTTTTGGAAAAGGGGTTGAAAACGACTGGTCTAGTCGAAACATCTCTCACACCCCCCCAATACAGCTATAGTTCATTAGTAATCTATATTCAATTCACTTTCCCAGAAACCTTTACAACGATCGCAACACAATCCACAAGCACCTTTGCATCTGTCTTCTCATCGCTGAAACGATATTTCTGATCGGAATCAACCAAACGCAGAATAAAATTGTTTGTTCGATCATTGCTGGTTCGCTTCATTATTTCTTTCTTGCTGCTTTCTGTTGGATGGCATTGGAAGGCTTTCAACTTTACGTCATGTTGGTTGAAGTATTTGAAGCGAACAGTTCAAGATGGAAGTGGTATTACCTTGTTGGATATGGTGAGTTGGGTTTGTTCAATGGCGTTGTATGTTGAAGATCCCGGGTTTAAACCTGTGCCCACCACATTACCCAAAATTTCATAAATGGGGTGGGCTAATTGATCAACCCTGTGATGTTACGTAAGGGCCTTAGCTTGGGGGGGGGGAGTAGGAACCTTTTGTGTATATCAAAAAAATTATTTCTATATTATACATATCAATTTTTCTAGCTTGAAACACTTTTTAGGCTCTCAAGTTCCATGAAGACCCGGGTCTCCGACTTCGGTCTAACTTGGATATTACAGATTTCATAACCCATCTCTGAAACTTTCAGGTCACGCGTCTATTACGTCTCCTCCATTAGTTTTACCTATTTGTTTGGTTTTATCTATTTGGATAGGGTGTAGATTTAGTCTCTTTACAAATTTCTATGAATTTTTAAAATTATAAGATTATAAAATTGTAATCTTTTCATATTTTCATTTATTCATTGCTTTCTTTCTTTTTAGGCGTTCCAGCTTTAATTGTCGGCGTGTCTGCTGGTATCGACCATGCAGGGTATGGGACAGACAGTGTCTGTTGGTTGGAAATAAATTCCGGTTTTATCTGGAGTTTCGCTGGTCCCATACTAGTCATTATTCTACTAAACCTCGTTTTCCTCTCAATCACTGTCTATAAGATGTACGTTCACACGATGTCGTTCACTGATTCTGGAAAGATTAATTCAATCAAGTAAGTGAGAGTCTTTGTTTTGCATGAATCTAACTCCTGACTTCGGAATTTCGAGATATTGACATCGGCTTCAACACAAGACTATAATTTGACGATAATATAATTTTAAATTTTGTTTCAAGAAATGGGTTTATGATTTTATGTTATGACTTCGGTGCCAAATCCTCCAAATATCAAATACTATATCAAACTAAATAAATTTCAGTTTTAGATACCAGTATAATAAAAAAAATTCATATCTTTCTCGAAGTAAAAAAAAACCAATAGGATATGCTTGGCCATATGGCGAACAATAATTTTTTTGAGCTATCTGTTGAGATTAAGTGCCAGTATGAATATATATATATATATTGTACCATTGCAAATAATGCCTTGGATACTGGACCGTGGATAGAAAATCAATCCTTCCTCACCAATCGCATTTCAACTTTTATCTTTCAGAGCGTCAGTTCGTGGAGCGTCTGTTCTTCTCTGTCTTCTTGGAATAACTTGGGCGTTTGGTTTCTTATGGATCAGCGAACACATGACGGTCGTGGCCTATTTGTTCTGCATATTCAATGCATTTCAAGGAATGTTTATATTTATATTCCACTGCTTATTACCAAGAAAGGTGAGTTCTTATGACGTCAGTAAAATTACGTCATCACTTATAAATAAGAAGGTGATTTTTATGACGTAGTCGCATGATGACGTCACTACATAAATTCAAAGTTCTGGTACTTATTTCCAAGAGAAGTGAGTCTTATGACGTCATTGTTCTGTGTCTCATTACGTCACTGATTACGTCATTAAATCTTATTTTAGGTGCGTCAAGAATACAGCAGATGTTTTAGCAGATTTCCTTGTTGTAAGAATATATCACGTGATACCTACGTCAGCAATAGTATGACGTTTTCAAAACAATATACTCCAGGAAGATTTGCACCGAACGGGACAAATGGACCCACTCAACAGTCAAGTATTACTGTACGTTATTCTATTTTAATGACAAAAAATCTCTACAAAGAACAAATACATTGACACTAGAAGGAGCCTTGGACAAATAGTCATTTGAGAATACATTATTGCGATTTCTCACAGAATAATTGGAAAACTCCTGAGCCTAGACAATGAATGCAACCTACCATCCAACCAATTATTTCAAAAAACACCTTCCAGCCATCCAACCTATATTCATTTCTACATTTCACAGGGACACAGTCAACTCCGTAGAATGTGGAATGAAACAGTCGCTCCAAAGACTTCAGAATCTTCTCCGATCGCTTCAGAAGTTTCAAACAATATTGTGCAAAACAGAGGTAAGGACCGTTCCATATTTATAGAAAATGAATGTCGTTGCCGTTTCCTAATCATATTGACGATTTGCATTTGACGTTTATTTGCAAACGCGCGATTCTACGCTGTAGGCTAGCTCCCTTTTTAATCCGCGCGCTTTTAAAGACAATCATTGAGTTTTGTTAGAATTATCACACAGAATCTGAACCAACTACTGAAGTACTATGTAAAAGAGATTCCTCACTAATAAAAAAAAATACAATTTTGTGAGTATTATGCCCTGGAATTTGTGTTAGGACGGGGATCTTAAACATGCGCTCAAATATAGCTAAGACCGACAATATAGCAACTGTTAGAGCTTTGAAATGTTAGATCCATGATAATGACTTCGGTCTGAGAATTTATATTACTCCGGTTCCGAACCGTAAAAAATGTTGGTGTTAAAAACTTCAGCATGTGCAGGTCTTTTTAAATAGACGATTTAAATGCCGGATAAACTCAGTTTTTTATAGTTTCTGCTAATAATTTTGACTTCTTCTATCATCTTTAAAAGTGTACAACTCCTCTGTGAACTTGAAAAAGTTCGACACTCAACCTAGGTTACACAGCCCTGGATACTGAGTCATCCTTACCAATATAGATTAGAGAAGCAGAAATTAATATTAAAAAACTACAAGTCTAGAAGCAAAGCATCATGGTCTTTCTAATAGCTTGCAAGATCACTAATTACATCTCACATTCTCACCCATCCCCATTTTGCTGTTTTACAGACTCTTCTTATTCGAATGGTACACATTAGCATGAGTAAGTCTTTCCACATCTCGAATCAAAGCTATAACGCTTTGCCATTTGGGTGAAATCTGCCATTAACTTCATTTGCATTTATTCAATTGCTTGAGGTGCTGTGTTTAGCGAAACGCTTTTCAAATCATTAACTCATTTTTATGGGTAATTTTACACTTTCATTTGAATAAGGCTAAATGCAAGCACTTTAATGAATAGACGACGGCTGCGCTTATAAGATGGCAAGCAACCTTACTAATTCGATTTTTTTGTAGAGTTGTAGGCGTTTGCAATAAAGCTTTTAAAGCTAGGATTTAATTTCCCTTCAATCAGTTCCGTATCTGGCGTGTGGAAGCCGTGGCTGATGGCTCGTGCCACGTCATTTTACGTAGAAACGCCACTGCCTTCAATACATTTTATGTAGGTAAATGTATGGAAGTATTTTTCTCCTTGCTTCGCTCGACTGCTGCGTTAAACATTGAAAAGATAACTTAATATCGGAAAAAATTATTGTACTTATTTTGATTGTTTGGCTAAGCATAAATTGTGTTTTCTTCAATATTGAGTTATATTTGGGCGGCAAAAAGACTTTTCATATTTTTTGTTATCTCAATTTCATAAAAAAATTTCATTTTTCCACATGCTGCTTATATAAGGATCAAAAGTCACTCAATCTCTCTCAAGAGAACTTTCGAAAATGAGAGGAGTTTCACTCCGTGACCGTTCCAACTCAACATCGTCCTTTCTTTATTTTTATTCCGTTGACAAGCCCAAATATGGATTAGGGAAACCCCCTAAATTTGGCGCCACTGAGCCACGACCCCGAAGAAGCCGTTCCACTATCATAGCCAACTATTATCAACGAAACACAATGACGTTATCAGGTGTGACTTGATGTTGCATGTAGTGTGGCGTCATCAACTTGTAACGGCATCCATGTTTTCATGACGTCATCAAATATTGACGACATCCACGCTGTCATGACGTCATTAAATAGTAACGACATCAATGTTGTCATGGCGTTATTAATGTTCCCATCAAACAGTGATGGCATATCCATGTTGCCATGACGTTTTAATTGTGACAACATCGATGTTGTCATGTCGTCATTGAATAGTGACGACATCAATGTTGTCATGTCGTCATTAAATTGTAACGACTTTAATGTTGTAAATTTGCTTTACATAAATAATTCATGCTTGTGAATATATATCACCTTGGAAAACAAAGAGTTTTACTTTATGCTTGACGTCATTAGAATGTGATGTCACTTTCGAACTTTATGAATTTTGTATGACAACTTTTCATGATTTGAGTTTCAACCTTTCAAAGCACGATTACCTTTAGCCACCTGCTGTGTTAGTTATGTTTGCTTCACTATTTTGAGTTTATATATTTTTTGATTTGAGTGTCATATTTTATTTCAGCGACAAATGGGTTGTATTTTACTAGCGCATTTAGTATATTTCTTCCTATCACGTGTTTTCCATATAGGTATTTTCCCGATGAAGTCTTTTAGGAAAATTTACTAAAAGCAAACTCACGTGCACTCACACAAAATAAAATGAGATCAATCTCAGAAAAAATTAATTAATTCTATAATAATGAGGGAAATTATTTAACACTTGAATTTCTGTTTGTGTATGACTGTACCCGAAAGCTTCAGTAATCAAGGAAAAAAAGCTTTGCACTAGAGTTATGTTTTCTCTGGAACATGCTTGGATTTTATGCTTTATGAGAGAAAATGTGAGTGCTGATATGAGCCACACTAAATGGTTTGGCGGGCCGGTCTGAGCCCTACGGGCTGCCTGTTGCACATCAATAAATCGGACAAATATTTTTGAATATGCTCCAAAACATTAGGTGATCTAAACAAGTCTGTAGTTTATTCATGTGATTTTTGATTTCAGACTCTTCAAGGCAACCGAACTGCAATCACCGAATGACATCCAATTTACCTCAAAATTCTGGCAACATTGAAAAACCAATTCCTACTCGTCAACAACTACAGGTCGTAAGGCAAGAGGATGACGTGTTCCTACCCTCAGAACATGAGTTCGAAACTCGGTCGCCTCAGATGAATTCAGAAAATGTCGGACTTCTTCAAAATGAACAAGACGAAATCCAATATGATCGATTACACCATCATCGTCATGGTGATGGTAATTTTCACCACGATGGGGCGCCATTTCATTCTCAACATTACCCCCCACCTGGACATTTTCATACAGGACTCCCTCCCGCACCAAGACACCACACGCACACTTCTACCGGGGTCCATAACCACCCCAGATTCGTGCCCACATCCCACTCCCAATCGCGAATACGAGACATGGGGGACGATGCGATTTTGGATCCAAACGTTAGATACCCACAAAGCAGGCATCGAGAACCCGCACACCCATATTACTGGGACCTTGACGCCCCCTTAGGGCACCACCACGCCCATCAGAGCAGCCTAGATGACAGTTTAGGAAATACTAAAAGAGACTCCGGTATCAGCATGCAGCATTTGCCGCCAAACTCAATGATGCATAACCTTGCAAACGAAATGCATCGCAACAAAGTACGTAGTTCCCATGACAACCTGACAAGTGGTGTCCAATCAGATATCGATGTACAAAACCACGGGATGCCAAGAAAAGTGTCTTATCCAATTAGAGGACAGGATGGCATGGAGGCGGGGCAAATTGAACCCGGGCATCAAAGGTTTTCACCCAATCACAGACGAGGAGGTGGGTTCTCTGACGACGAAGGTCAGCCCTCATCATACGAAGATCGTGAGAATCCACAGAAGTACCAAACGAGCAGTATGGATACTCAAATGCCCCCACATTGCGCCATACATAACCCAGCTGTAATCCCCTTATCCGGGAGACAGGATGTCCCGAAGTCTCACCAAGGAGGGCACAGGAGGCGCAAGTCCCTTAGTACCGATTCGGACGATCCCATTACTAGTGACTGCAGCCCTAGTAGTACCGGGTCGTTCGATAAGCCACAAAACAGACAATATAGGCAATGGACTGGTCAAGAAGAATGTGCTTGATCTTGCAAGCTAGAGCTCAATAAATTCGTAGTTAGTAAATGCTGAAATGGTGAAAAGCAAACATATTATTTGCTAACATTTCAAAGACTACAAGCCCCCGTTAGGAACCGCTGCTTTAGGGGCTAAGAAGTGGGTTTCAAAATGGCCCACAATATGTACAAATAAATACCATTCAAACTTCAATTACAAAAAAATATTGAATATAAAGAAAAACGTAAAAAGCGTAAAACACGCAACCAACAGAAAAGACACGTCAAACTTTAATTTCTATTTAATATATGTTCCAGAGGTTGACTTTTTATTCAACTTTATTGCAAACTGTCCCTAGCTTTGAGGTATAAGGACGACCAATTAAATCGTTGCAAAACTGTGCAGAGAGAGTGCCACAGCACCAGTTTTGCTTCTTCTATTACAAAATTAGTTACAAAAGTTACAAAATTAGCCAAGTCAGTATTCCAAAAAGTAAACGAATAGCTTGCGGAGCCCTTAGGTTTTTTCACGGAGCCCTGGGGCTCCTTATGAACCCCTTTTAGAACCTATGCTTAAGCCACCATCTCGAAGATTCCACCACAATTCCAGTTTTTGCTTACTTATAAGTAGCAAAATGGCCCTGTCGTTGGCCACAGTGTATTATTGTCTGTGGCTAGAGATCTTGTTTTTAAGCTATATCGGTTATATTGTCTTATCTTCCATGGCGTTATAAAATGGGTCTGCTATGGCGATTTGAAAAGGTTGGTTGCTGTAGCCCAGTGTATCCAACATAAGCGAAGTGTGCGTGGAAGAGCATTTGTTAGAGCTAAATTGCAAAACACTTTATGGGATGGGTCTTTGATAAAGATTTATGGTGCTCCCGAAGTATGCGAACCAAGAAGGCGGACATCGGAACGTAACATGGGTAACAGGTTAGGGTTAGGCGATAATTTTTTTTCCAATTTTCCTTATTTTAGTCCTATTATCAGTTCGAAGACTAGCCAAGAGCCTCCCGTAGTATTTAAACCTAAAATTATGGCCTAACCCTAACCTAGTACACATATTTCATTCCGATGTCCGCCATCTTGGTTCACATACTTCGGGAGCCCCAGTTTTATTATAGATTTAATCATTTGCTTTTATTGAACGCTGCCTTATTTTGCAATTTCGAGATTTTTTTGTTCGCTCATATTTAACATAAGTAGATTAATTTTGCTCCAATGAATCTGGCAACACTCATTGATACTCACTATTAAATCGTATTATACTAAGCACGGTTCCATATAACGTAATCAAATGGCGAATATCAATGTTTGTTGCCAGGTTTATTGTTTACTTGAAGCATAGGAAATACCAAATAGGTAGTGCTTTTTTTACATTTTATTTTTGTTTCTTTTTTTCCCTAAAAATGACATTTTTGTTGCATTTATTGTACATTTGTTTTATTAATTTGAATCATTTTTAAAGACAAATCAATTTCTTAATCAGCTTCATTATTTACCCATCAACTTTAATTAACAACAGCACCAATAACAACAAACCGCATATTGACAACAAAAATGTTTTTGTTTTAATTTCATGTTTGCCTTTTCATACTAACAGTTTTTCTCCACCCTTCCACTACCAATTAAAAAAACTCAAAAATTTGGCTCCAACTCCGGTCCCAGTTTTGACAAATTTGACTCCAACTACAACAAAACCTGGGATTTCTATCATTATATTGATATAAGCAACTCATATGAACTCAAAAATAAACGTTGTAATTTGGACCCGGCTCCGGCTCCAATTTGAGTCATATGTCAAGTCCTTCAACTCAAGATAGTATAAAATACTCATAATTTGACTCCAATATAAGCAAACATGGAATTGACTTTAACTTATATCCTCTAAAAATGCTCAATTGTGTCGACACCTATGTAATACCATTCGCGGGATATTTAAAAAGACGAATTAACTCAACAACAATGGCGAGTTAAAAAAAAATGAAGAAATAATTCAAGTTTACACTTCGTGCCCTATAAATGAACATTGTTGAAATCTACGGATATGAATAAGACGCCATTTGAAGGTTATTAAACGAAATTTTGGAGTAAACCAATGCGCACAATGATGCCTTAACGAAATATGAGAACAAATTACGCCGGTTATCCTTAGCTTAATATTTAAAATGATCCAATCGGTTCAAATATACTGAAATTATTTAGCACAATAATCAGAGTTTACAAGATTCCTTTCGCAGCATTTTGTTATATATTTCTAATATTAACCTGTGCACTGATTTCGCGCTAATGACGTCATAAATGAGCATTGCGTCATTTCCTGTTAACCGTGACCATAGTAACGGATTGTGCTTTATACACGATTTATCGATGGCCATGCATTGCAGTGTGTGATCTCTGTTGAATATTATGTTTATCTATATTATGTATTAAATACCACTGTGATATAATAATGATACTATTATGATGTCATTTCAATAAAAGTTTCCGCGCGAAATTGTGTGCTTGTCTATGAGTTTATCCAGTGGTTCTTCACAAAGTTGATTGAGTGGGGGCTAAAATTAGAAGTCAGAAGATATTCGCTGGTAATTAAGATACCGGTATAATTGAATTGTTACGTATATACACGTGGTTAAACTATGATAATGACGTGACATTCGGAGGTAATAGGATCGCGGTTTTGGGAACCACTGGTTTTTCCTAATAAGAGAAAAGTAGTAAATAGGATTGGGTTAAATTATAGTATAGTTCCCAACAATTTTTCTGATTCGTCTAGATTGATAGATAGACATATTGATTTTAAGTTGGGAGAGGACACTGCTATCATGGTATCGCCCCACCCAGGTTCGTAGCAAGAAATTTTCAATTTCAAATTCTAAAATTTATAATTGCCGAGTTAGAACGCATCAGCCAGCGGAAATGGTGGTTTTATAAAAGTCTTTGAGGGCTGAAAAGCGTTTTAAACTACCAAAAGTTGCTATTTACGATACAGAAAAAGGATTTTCCTACATTTCAAAAGGGTGGTTCCGTGTACCAGTAAAATGAGAAATAGATAAACGGGAAACTTTATATGAGGAATATTTCTCTTAACTGACGAACTCTGAGGTCAAAAGCTATGATCCAATCAAGCAAATAAATATTGAGAAATGATTATTTGTAAGACATTCGAAATATTCAATTTTGCCACCAGCCTCAATCTGGCTATTGGCTAATATGCATTGTAATCTTGAACAGAATTTAATAAATTGGAGAAACAAAGTCAAATTGGAGCGATTTTTGCCCTTCCTAATAGATAGCCTTTTACATATACAGTATTTCAGAGCGAACGGCAAAAATGAGCATCTAATGAAATCTAATATGCGTCGAGAAACAATAAATTTTGTGAAAATAAAAAGACAAAGAACAATCTCCAGGGTGCGCTAATGAGTAAAGGGGGTCGTAACTCAACATGTCATCATTGTTCATCGTTATAAGCGTTTTTTTAGAAATCCTATGACTTTATTTGCAGTTTATCTCTCTCAAATTAATACGAGAGAATACCTAACGATTCGATAAAAAAAGTGCTCCGATCCACGGGAAGTGCTAGAGGGTAAAAAGTACGCGCAACGCACTAACATACAGGGTGTCCATAAAGTCCCTTTACAATTTCGATTATATTATAAAGTTAGTTATCAATATATCAACCAGATTTGTTGTTTTTAATTCAGTAATTGATTAAGTATTTTACATTTAATACATCTGTGAGGGCCAAAACAATATATGTTATCGATAAACTTCCTTTGTAAGTTATGGACACCCTATACTGTAAATAAACTGAAGTTTCCACATTTTAAAAAGGGATTGGCTACCTATGTGTCTTCGTCTACTTCGTCGTTTTTGCAGACTATGTTCCGAAAATCCAAACTATTTGAATATTTACTAGACTTATAATTCTAGTGTCATGTTTCATGTTCGGTCGACACTAAACTCTCAGTTTTGTTGCGTTTCAGTGGTAATTTAAACAAATTTCGTCTCGCGTCCCACCTCAAATACCCAGCTTACAATGGGCTACATATAACAGATGGTAAGGCGAGTATTTTTTACAAAAAAATAAAAAAAAAACACGTTGAAAATACGTGTAGTACATAATAAAGAAAGACGGGAAATATCAAATTTAACGCAAAATTTTATTTTGAGTTAGCTTTATTCTCCTTCGAAAAATTGTCTACCCCTATTTGTGGGACGCCGTTTAAGAATCAGTGCTGTAGATAAAATATTAGAAGTGACACCAAAAATTCTTAATATCATAATTCTAAAGTGTGCAAACGAGTACCTTTCAGCCACCACATGCGCTACTGAGCAAAAAAAGCATACAACCAAACAAACTTTCAGTTAGTTGTAACATTTTCAAAACATTTTTTGTTTCAAATCGTCAGTTGATACTTTTGTGAGCTCATAATGCGTGGGAGACAGATTGAATAACAATATGGGGAATGTATCAACATTAGAACAAAGAATTTGTAACAATTTGAAAACAAAAGTTGAATAAAACAAAAGGATTTGATAAAGACTGATAAATCATGTGATATTTAGACGTTAAGAACAATTAAGCAATTAGAAATTAATTACACCTAACTACAGATGGGCCATAGATAAAGATCAAATTTTATTCATGGCCACACATACGCAAATGTGTGGGTAGTTTTTCAATTTTATATAGGATATATGATTAAATAATTTCAAACTGGGGTTTATGTTTCATGCACGGCCTACTATACATGTTATATATAATTTGTGACATTGGATTAGAAATATTTTTCCAAATATAGCTGTTCTTTGAAGGTAATTGGAAATGAAACACAAGCGTTGGGTGGGTTGACTTGACTTTTAGTCAACTTTAGGTTGACTTTTACGCACGCCCTAATTAATATACGAGTATGTGCAGGTTTTCAAATTTGATAAAAGCCTATCAAAACGATCGTGCATCAATCAACTGGATATTTCTAATCGGTAATGGTCGCCATGTTGGGGGAAAAATTCTCCAAGCGTACGTAAGGAGTATGCGACGGTAGTCTATCAATCTGCATTGCCTGCTAAATTTTATTACGCTCTGTTTGGGTTTGATAAACTAAAAGTTGCAAATTGCTACGAATCGCTCAGAACAAGGTTTCGTAGAGAAAACGATGTTATTTCGCAGAGCAGCCATAATCCCATTTCGCATTACTATGATAAATGGGCTACACCATGTGTGGGGCTTGGAATCACCTTGGGTGAGCAAACAAACTACTGCTTTTAACAACACCTTTGAATTTTGAAGGTTTTGTTCGCTTTCCCGATTGTAAAATCAGTTTTATTTATTTTGTTTTCATCAATTATTTTATCGTCTATTATGCTGATTACGTAGTCGAAATAAACGTATACTTACATCTTTACGTGCGCTTCGATTGGGCAAACATGTTCACAGGATATTTTCAAACATAGGTGTATTGGAATTAGAACGTAATAAGGAAATTCGGAATAAACTTATGCATTTTACCCTAACCTGGTACACACACTACTGGAGTACCCCTTCACATTCGCTTGCTTCAATTGGGCAAACGTAGTCACTGTATGTTCAATTCAAATACCTCAAATAAAATAATCTGTCTATAAACAACGTGTATGTTTACACTCGCTACACAAATCCTATGTATTAGATACAATACCCGGTGTCGAATGATAGGAAACGTTGCATTCTTTTGAAATTTTGAAAAGTAATACAAATAGCAAACAGTTTGTGAGAAAATTGCGTAATTGATCTTTTCCCGTGGTGCGTTTTTCTTTTCGGGCATGGAATGGTCTTTTAGGTCGATATGTTGCTATCGTTGTTGAGAAAATATCGCAATTTATATTACACAAAGGGTGCCAGGTTATGGTTAGGTCATAATTTTATTCCGTTTTTCCTTATTTTTTAATTCCATTACGAGTTTGGGGACTGTCTGTGTTAGCCAAGTGCATATATCTCCTGCCCATAGAATTCAGTCATATTACACTACTTGATGTAAAGTTGTCGAACAAAATTAGTTACTTCTGTATAGTTATACATACTTCTGGAGCGTCCTTTGGAACACAGCGCGCACCTGTGATTTCCATATCTAACGTAAAAGCAGACGGGTATCATCTTTTCTCTACGCAGAATAAGTTGTTCCACCAACCATGGTCCAAAGATAAACCGCGTCTGAATGCTTACTTTATATGCGGTCATCACATGGCCATGTGTAGAGATTCAAATGTATCTAATCGACTAATAGTAACACGAGGGTTGGATAGAATTACCTATGATCTCACCGCGAACCGTAAACCCTTGAGTGAATCCTTTTGTAAACTTTGTGGCCAATTGAAAGGATATTAGATATATAGATGACTGAACTAAAGGATGGTATGCTTCAATTATATATGATCATGCAGTGCCTGTTGCGAAAATATGCTTTTGAAGTATTGCTTGTAGGACATTAGGATTTCGAATGAGGATTTTCTTCAGCCCATGCTGGGCAAAGGATCTAACATTTATTATGAAATTATGTTGCCAGTATGTTCCAATGTTCGATATAAAAAAATAATTTTTCTGTATCATACATAAAAAATGTGCAGCTTAAAACGCTTTCTAACCCCCAACACTCTTGGAACCCCATGTTTTCCAGCCTTCTGCAGCACCCGCTAACTGTTACGGTCATTATTAGATATTTCAGAACCTCCGCTTCAAAAATTCCTAGCTACGGCTTTTCGCGACAAAGGCCATTCTATACCAACGTTCAGCGTGAAAGATGTCACCAAAAAATACTAGCCGCTTTTCGGCGTAACCCTAAAAGCTACTCAAAACGTACCCCATTGTGTTCTAACCCAGGGGTGGGTAAGGTTTTTGAACCAGGGGCCGAAAATATTGCCCACTTAGACTGGCGTGTAGGTGTGACGTAAAAAGTTGCATGTTATGAACAATATTCACAGTGTTACAAAGCAAAGGTGGAAAACCATAAACCCCGCTATCTCAACAAATTCCTGGAGCTGTTTTAGCTGAAACATCAACATTTGATTTCAGTTTGGCTGTGGTAGTATCAGGCGGGCCAGATTGAAATGTCCCGCGGGCGGTACTTTGCCCCTTTCATGTTTTAACGTGTAATAAAAAAGGCCGATTCCTGACAACTGTTCGTTGAAAATGGCGACCTCACGAAAGCCGCAATAAAAGAATTGGAATTTCTTTATATAGTTGATACAAAGCACAATATATTAAATTACTTGGACGATACATTTACCGTGTTTACACTCTTATTTGATACAATCGATTAGGATTGTTAGTTTACTACGATGTTGTGACTTATGTTTTGCTCAAAGAAGTCTCTGGGCTAGGTCCATATTAAATTATCTTATTCTGGGCATATCATATTGTGTTGCGTTTATTAAATGCATTCGAAGTGGTGCCTATCTGTTTATTATTAAATTACTTTCTTGCCTAATTAAGAACTCTTTATTCCGCCCTCTATATGCATAAAAACTACTTTATATATTCAACCTTGAATGGATCCACAGCTGGTTTTATGGGTGCTTCTGAAGTATTCGTACCAAGATGGCGCACAACCTGAACATAGTATATGCACCAGGTTAGGGTTGTTCAGGTTGTGCGTCATCTTGGTACGAATACTTCTGGACCGCCGTTTTATACGCTATTAGAAGTTTAAGTAGTTTATGTGAGGATGTATGAGCATTATATTAATAATAATGAAAAATATTAGTAGTTATACAACAGCAAACACTAAGCAAAATTCTTCCCATCGGACATTCCGACGACATAATAACATAATAAAGTTTGGACCTTTTGCCATACGTTAGCAATTGCTGAAGAAAATCCTAATTCAAAATCCAAATTATTTTACGTAGAAAACTTTGAGAGCATATTTCCACAGCAGTCAATGGCCGTATATAATTGAAGCATATAATCCTTTATTTTATTTCACATATCCAGTCAATCAGTTATAAAGTTTAATTTCTTATTTAAAATCCTAAATAAAAATCCAAATTCGTCTACAGGCAATATTATGAGAGCATATTTTCTCATCGGGAAATGCATGGCCGTGTGTAATTAAAGCACAAAATTCGTTAGTTTAGTTATCTACATATCCAATATCCATTCAAACAGCCACAAAGTTTACAAAAGGATTTTCTGAAGTGTTTACGGTTCGCGGTGAGATCAGAGGTAATTCTATCCAACGCTCGTTTTGGAGTCGATTAGATACATTTGATTCTTTATACATGACCATGTAATGGCCGCATATAAAGTCAATCGCTTATCCCTAATTTAGCATTCAATTAAGGTTGAAAAGGCTTGCATACTTTTTAGTACAAAATAGTTGATACTTGCCTATTATATAAAGTTAAATATGGAATTCACAGGTGCACGCTGTGTTCCAAAGTACGCAAAAAATTTGAATCAAGTTTTTTTTCATTTTAAGGTATTAGAAGAAGTTTACCACACGCTGCGCTTGTGTAACGATTTTCTTTCTAACGCTCTTGCTAGAGTCGATTAGATAAATTTGATTCTTTATACGTGGCCATATGTTGACCGTTTATACTATGAGCGCTTGGACGCGGTTTATAATTGGATTGTACTTGGTTGAGCATAACTTTTTATGGGTATTGAATAGGTCAGTGCCTCTCAACCGGTGGGAAGCGTCTATTCAAGGTCGGTCGCAAAGTATTACCACATGTTACATATAGTTTTCATTTAGATCGGTATATTGTGACATTACCATTACATAACAATTATGAAACAATGTAACAATTAAAATTAAGCGTCGTTATCAGATTTGATCTGATGATATACAATAATATGCAAGATTAAGCTTCGCATTTTTAGTAAATTGCATGGAAATAGAATGTTTATTTTCTCATATAATAACATCTCATTGTGGGTCGCACAGAAAAAAATGGCAATACAAGTGGGGCGCGAACTGAAAAAGGCTGGGTAACACTGGAATAGGTGATACTCATCTGTTTTAATATATCGGAGGCGGAATTTACAGGTGCGCATTGAGTTATAAAGCGCGCGTTAAATTTAAAACTGATCATAATTAATAACTCAAAGAGGGTTGCTACACACTAACACCAATTTATTCCTGTAACCTTTCTTTCAAAGTAAGGCCAAAGTAAGACGCTTCAAGACTTTATAGCAAGAATAAAGATAACTATTCTAACCGATTCAGGGAAAAAAAAACTTGGTAGGCAATCAATCACCTGACTAAATGGGACTAACTCTGACATGGGCAAATTACGACTCATGGGCCAAGTCTCACCCGTTGGGTAATTCAATCTAGCCCGCTAGATGCCGCCACAACCAAATTGAAACCAAACTTTGCGGTGCTCCCGAAGTATGCGAACCAAGATGGCGGACATCGGAACGTAACATGGGTAACAGGTTAGGGTTAGGCGATATTTTTTTTCCAATTTTCCCTATTTTAGTCCTATTATCAGTTCGAAGAATAGCCATGAGCCTCCCGTAGTATTTATACCTAAAATTATGGCCTATCCCTAACCTACTACACATATTACATTCCGATGTCCGCCATCTTGGTTCGCCTACTTCGGGAGCCCCGACGTTTTAGCTAAAAAATAACTCAAGGAATTAGTTGAGATTACGATGAAATTCAGTTTTGGCACGAGGCTTTCCACTTGCTAACACTGTAAATATTGTTCATTACGTCACACTTACATGGCCCAACATTCTAGGTGGCCCCTTTTGGCCCCTGGTCCTAAAACCTTGCTCACCCGTGGACCAACTATTATCATTCTTTGCAAATTTGCAAACCGTGTTCGCATCAAAATTTATTATTTCAAAAAATAAGTTGAAAAAAAAAAATGAAAAGTGCAGTTTAAATAATCATGTTTGTACATTGCAATAAAAAAAAAACAGAAATTTACATGAAATTTGAAATAATGGTGTTCTGTAACAACATAGTTTGACCGAAGGACGTTTTGGGAGTGAGTGAGCTGTAAATGCTGCCGGGTTTAATTTGTTATACGGCATATTGATAAAGTTATTATAGGTTTTGAAGAGACATTGCCTACTCAATTTATTACACGCTGGAAGAAGTGGTGGATATAGATTCCAATACAGTTTAGTCTAACACTAAAACAACTTAGTTTTTGAGTTCGGTAATTAGGTAATATAAAGTAAATAAAGTAAACGATTTGGAATATCGACTTGCAAACATAAACGAATCAGTAATTCTACGCAAGTGGTTCGAAGTTGGAATTTGAAACGGTCTGAGTTGAAAAGCAAGTTTGAAATATGTCGAACGGTTTAGAATACTTAACTTGCAAATATGGGTAGTCATTCGACAGCGCTCCAGAAGTGTGTATACCAATATGGAAATAACTAATTTTGTTCGCCTACTTTACATCAAGTAAAAGGGACTGAAGCCTATGGACAGGGGGTATATTCACCTGGCTAACATAGACAGTCCCCGAACTCGTAATAGAAGAAAAACAGGGAAAATCGAAATAAAATTATGGCGTAACCCTAACCTGGTACACACACTACGGGAGTACCCATTCTACAAACTAATTTCAAGCCTTCAAAAAATCGCTAAGCTAGATAACCTATTAAGGGTTTAACACGTTTTCAAGAAACTCGTCTAAGCAAATCACTCATTCAGTTCAGTTGGCTGAGTTGAATCAAGGGTTTCAGACTTATTTCATATAAATTGACACAGAAAATACCAGAGGCTTTTCGTGTAGAGACTTGTTTTGAAAATGTGAAAATATGGAAATGCTACAATAGCAATACATATGTAAAAACAGTTCTATGGCTTAGTTGAAAATTAAGTTTGAAAATAATCAGCTTCATACGTTTAACTTAACGTTTAAGTTTGGCTAATGCATTCCTAGGTATTAACTAAAAAAGAATAAAGTAGTGCTACTTAATGCCAAAAAAAATTAATAAAGAAATTGAAGTAAAATTAGTTGAAACAGAAATAAGAAGGGAAATTACACGCAGAAAATTCTTTCCTCGTAAAGTTTCACAATGGAATATTCCACCCGGAAAAAAATCAATTCCAATCTATAAATTAAAATATTTTTTTAAATGGATTCTTTGTATAATGTCTAGTCATTTTCCAATACGTGGTATTTCAGGATCGAATCGGATATTTTTTCGAATCGAATCTTGAATATTACTCACTTAGAAACAAAGAAGACTCATCTCTGAACAATGTTACAGCAACTCACTCATGAGTGAACGAGACTCATCTCTGAGGGAAGGTATGCAAACTCACTCAGATGTAAAGGAGACTCATCTCTGAGCAAAAGTAACGGTCACTCACTCAGAAGTGAAGGAGACTCATCTCTGAGCAAAAGCGAGTGGCAAACACTGAACAACTCAAGAGCTACTGAAACAACATAGTTTCTTACACAGCACAATCTGCCTTTTTTAAGCCCTATATAAAGCAAAGGCGCGAAACACATAAAATATTCAAGATTTTGACAAAGTAAACTCTTATAAGTTGGTGATCATGCGCGTGCCCATATCTTCATGAATGCTCGGTTGTTTGCATGAGAGATACGTATTTGGGTTTTGAGAATAATCGACGCTATTTTGAGAACTTGGAAATATTTTTTGTCCGAAACACCCCATTTGCGGGACATTTCTGCCCCCAACGTTCACGGGCATTGATGAATAAGTAGAATTTCCTACCATACCCGTTCTATAACCAGCTGGGGCCGAAATTAACTTCTCCTCTGCGTCCGTAAATTCGGACCGAGATGTCCCATCACTATGTCCTATACTTGATAATGGTGAAAGTTGGTAGTCCGTAGATGTATCGTAGTCATTGACACATGCATCCGAAGTTAACCTTTCAACTTCAAAGTCGGTTTCGTCCCTGCTGTGGTCCGAAATTATCGATGCTGTGGGATGCCAGTGCTCTTTGTGATTTCGGACGCTGATAGGTGGATTCGGAAGCCTTCGTTTGTGAACGCAAATAGGTTCTTCGTAATACGGCTCTTTGGGAAGTGTTTCATGTATGCTTTGGCAAGTATGTATGGACGGAGATGCGTTTTCTAAGGACGAACCCGCACTGCTGGTGATGCTGCAGTCAGTAACTATTGGATCGTCCGATTCGGAACTCAGCGATTTACGGCATCTTCGGACATTTTGTAGTCTCGATGTAGGGTTAGTACGATTGCCTGCTACATTGTTTCTAGCTGCGCAATTTTGAGCCAATTCGGACCTTTGAGTATTCGAACTTGAATATTGTAATTCATTATGTCTTTCGTCGTCCGAAGATACCAATGGGCAATTCTGATTGGATGACAAAATTTCGTTCTCGATTCTGATTGGCTGAGACAGTCTTCTGGCTGCCGAATCACTGGGCGAATAAATGTCTCGTTGTGAATTCTCTAACCTGATTGGCTGAGACTGCCTTTGTATGATCGGTATATTGGGACCATTGGCATGGTATATCAAATTATCATGCGACCTTTTTGCATCGTGTTCCATATTAGGTAGAATCGAATTTTGTGGTAAATTGTTTATACTTATTCCAGAGTCTCTTTTTCTATTTACTATGTTGTCATCGTAACTACTTTGTCGTTCGGGGTAGCGCTTTAAATGATGTTCATTTCCGCATTGATGGATAGCTTCCGCAAGCCTTGGAGTCGAACTATGAACTGTAAAGTTGTTAACATGAGATTGGGTGTTGGCCATAGCGTGATGGTGCGTACGGCAGTCGTGCTGTGCGACCGTAGACGTACGGTTATCCCCATTGTAATGTCTAAATGATGGTGGTATTCCGGTATGGAATCTCCCAGGTGGGGGGTGGGGGTGAGAATAAAATGGCGCTCCCTGGTGTCGGTGATGTTGTAAACGATCATACGAAACTTCGTTCGGGCTGTTTTGTAACATTGTCTCATTTTGGTGATGTGGGTGGGATTCGAACTCAGGTTGCAAGGGAAGGAATACTTCGTCTTCCTGTTGCAGTGTATGATTTTGTTGCAGATTACGAGTAGAGAAACCTCTCGTGCCCATCGTAACACGGCTGGAATCTGTTATATAAAATAGAAAGCTTAATGCAATGAGGTTTTACAATAGATCAGTATGTGCTGAAAGCTATGGAAGCTTTTCATTTTAAAGGAGTGTTTTAAAAATTAGGGGGTGGTGAATATTTTGCTTTTAGCGATAATACTATTTGTAACTTATAAAATGGTGGTATGTGTTTGACAGATCATCTACATCAGGGTCGTTCAACTCGTGGCCCGCGGGGCATAAGTGGCCCGCGGTGACATTTCGAGTGGCCCGCGCTGTATTTTTCAGAAATAAAAAAAAATTAAAGCGAAACTATTTTTCGAGTGATGTAGTATACAAAGATTTGATACAAACGATTTGTTTATTTTCCTGAAATGCTCTCTGTCAGCCCTTTCAAACGAGCCATTAGTGCCATTTTGAATCGAAACCAACTGGAAGGATATATCGATAAATAAAGGATTTGGTATTTTGCTACTCTATATGACGTTATCGCAAAACAATCGAAGCCATTCTCAGATTGAAAATTTGTTGAGGAATGTATATTATGTAGCCTATTGCTCGGGTTGCCAATGTTTTACGTCGGGAAATAAAAGAGGTTTTTGCAGAAATAGCCTGTCAAGACAGACCATAACTCTTCATGTCGAAGAGCTTGAGAACTCTGTAACGGAAACTTTAATTGCAAAGTCGGGAAAATTTCCATCGTATTCCTTAGCGCTTGACGAAAGCACTGACATCAAGGATACTGCTCAGTTGGCGACTTGGCGATCTTCTTGCGGGGAGTTAATAATGATTTTGAAATTACCGCAGAGCTCGCAGCTATTGTCCCTATTAAGGGTACGACTGGAGGCATTGATTTGTTGCGAGCTATCATAAATATGACCAAGCGTCTTGGCTTGTCTACGAGGGAAACTTTCAGAAATAACCACTGATGGCAGCCTAAGCATTAGGAGTAACAATACAATATTAAAACCCACATTACAACCAATAAAACTGAATATGACGCGACCAATTAATGACGTCATACTTATCAAAGAAACGCAATCCATAAAACATAATGACGTAGACAACATTTAGTCATACAAGACATATGACAACGCTTAATAATGACATCACAACATTACATCAGCCCCACATTTTCACATTCAACGGTACGCATGTGACATAAAGTTAGACAAAATATTACATCTATCATTATTGACGTCACTAAACATACGTCATGCCCAACATTTAATGGCATGCCAATGCGAACCTGGTATTATAATAGTGTGTCGTTTGCAAGTTGGTACAATAACCATATGCCGTCTCACAGGTCGGGGCTCCGTGGAACCGAATATTGCCGGTTTATCGGGCTTATGAGGCGTTTTATCAACAGAGTAGAAATAAAGAAAGGACGATGTTGAATTGGAACGATCACGGAGTGAGACTCCTTGCATATTTGAGAGTTCTCTTGAGAGAGATTGAGTGACTGCATCCATTCCATAAGAAAGCAGCGTGGGGAAAAAATTGTCAAAATTGAGATGAATCGTTAGAAATATTAAAAAAAGCATCCAATATTGACCCAAAAATGGAAAAACAAACTTATTAGGTTCATACATTTAAATGAGTATCAAATTGAAACATTTTGGAACATTCCAGGCAAATTGCGATAAAACCCAAATTTAGCGTCTTCTTAGCAATGCGCCGATGTATATTCTTACAATGAAATATGCCAGAGAGTGCACTGCATTGGTTAACCCTTGACTACCAGAGCACCGCACACCACCCTCACGTTTTCATTGGTGTTTATAGCGCAAATCAAGTAAATTGCAAGAACGCATCACGGTGTTTCTCATTTCTAAATATTGATTCATGTCAATAATTTATGTGGCCAATTGTATTTATTTTATTCCCATACGCATATATTCCTACCTCTGTCGTGAAGAATATTCGGTGAAATTTCAGAACCAGCCATCGGTGATGATTCGGTAGCTTTTGGTGCAACAGTCTCATTCCACATTATTTGAAGCTGGCTCTGTGCCTAGTTAAAAGAAGAAAATATTGGTATTATGTATATTCGTTACTTGCACTAATTTCATTTTGTATTTTACGTTTGACCAAAGTCGGTTATAGCTATTTTTGGCGCTCCGGTGCATGTAAACCAAGATGACAAACACTGGAACGTAGTATGTGTATCAGGTGATGGTTAGGTCATAATTTCATTCCAATTTTCTTTATTTTAGTTCTATTACGAGTTTGGGGACTAGCCAAGTGACTCCCGTAGTATTTGTATCTGAAATTATGCCCTAATCCTAATCTGGTACACATACTACTTTTCGGTGTCCACCATCTTGGTTCACATACTACGGGAGTACCATATTTTTCAGCCATTAAATTCTTAATACAGAATCTTGTTCAGAGTGAAATCACTGAAACATGAGAAAAAAGAATTTCGGCGTGAAGAAAACGCAATAAAAGCAGGATAAGACAGTGTGAAACGCTATTAATGTATTCAAACAATCCAATTTGTCTATCAGAGGTTACGCGAGACTAACTCCCAATCCTTCAATGCTTTTGCGCGAGTGGATCCGTATGGGTATCATGTAAGGATGCTGTAACAGGAATAAAATACCATAATGTGAAATTCAAGAGCTTTGCTGCACACTAACACAAATAACGTTGCGTTCGACCAAAATCAGACATCCTCAGACAAGCAGTTCACAACGTAGTCCAATTGATTACTTACATTTTGACTAGCTTGGCAAGTCAATCCATTTGGTAACGTCCTCTCGGGTGTATATCGCTTTGAGAACGACATGCTGTTACTTGCATAAGTCCCTCGTTGCATTCTCTGGCAGCATGTAATTGAGTCGAAAGCCCTTTTATATTCCTCGCGTATCTAAAGATGACAAAATTCAGTTACGTCAATAATTACGTCATATAGCGTTTTGGGTTAAACAAAACCAAAAGAGAAGAATATTATCAAAATGACGTCACGACTACTGAATTGCAAATTATTGACGTCTTCATTAATGGCATCACAAATGACGTCATCAGTAACGTTATTATATTGGTAGTTTGTGAGAGCACCGTATAATATTCAATAGAATCTCAAAATCAGATTTTCGCTATGACGTCATTAGACAATGATATTATAACAATCAATGATGTTTGTAATATTTAATGACGTCATAAGAACTCACCTTTCTTGGTAATAAGCAGTGGAATATAAATATAAACATTCCTTGAAATGCATTGAATATGCAGAACAAATAGGCCACGACCGTCATGTGTTCGCTGATCCATAAGAAACCAAACGCCCAAGTTATTCCAAGAAGGCAGAGAAGAACAGACGCCCCACGAACTGACGCTCTGAAACAGAAAGATTGGTTTGGGTTAAGTAAAAATATATATGGAAAATCGATCTATTTTTCGCTATTATATCACCAATCTGGGAATCTCAAATATCCGAGAATAGGAAAAACATTTAGCTTTACGTCAAAATTTGCTCTTCATAAATTCAGATCTCCTGTGGAATGGTGGGGTTATATTGATTAATTGGATACGTAGGCGTTGAACCAAAGATATTTAGCTGACAATGTCAACGTATATTATCTAGTGGTCTTACCTTTGGGCCACATGCCATTTGTTGAATTTTCAACGCCTAAGTTACAATGAATTGGAACATTCCGAACATTTTAAAATTAGTAGCATCTTACTTATCAGTCTTGTTCAAAATGAAAGCGTGGAGAAGTCTGTTGATTGTGAAGTAAAAGTTGCTTTCTTACCTATCAGAGACTTGTAGTGAGACTTGTTCGAAGCGGAAACATGAAAATTTCCTATAAAAACGAAACAAAAACTCTAACTTACTTGATTGAATTTATCTTTCCAGAATCAGTGAACGACATCGTATGAACGTACATCTTATATACAGTGATTGAGAGGAAAACGAGGTTTAGTAGAATAATGACTAGTATGGGACCTGCGAAACTCCAAATGAAACCGGAATCGAATTCTAACCAACAGACACTGTCTGTCCCATACCCTGCATGATCGATACCAGCAGACACACCGACAATTAAAGCTGGAACGCCTGCAATAAAAAGTAATGTTGAGTGAATGAAAATAAATTCAGAAGAATGAGCTTACAGGGTGCCCATTCTTTTCAGCTTGGGAAATTAATTAAAAACCTGTAAAGAGACTTTATGGGCACCATGTATAGTTTATACGTCTTTTTACAAGTATAAGCTATCCCTCTTAAAATATAATATAAAAAATATAAATTAAAATATCCTTTACAACTATTTATTACACATAGTTTTGTTATATATATGTATATTTATGGACATTTGTTTGCTCGGGCAATTATCTCAAAATCTCTATGAAATTTAGTCCAACACTTAAGCAAAAGATATCTCATGGTGGTCCCTATAACCTTCCGGTCGTTAAATTTTTTTACCTTAAATGTCATGTGGCTTATTGCTAGATTTATTACAAGCAGTCTGAAGATGTTTCCAGATGTCTTTCAAAATTTACGATGTCACCGGAGTAATATTATTGCCTTGCTGTCTTGCATTTATTCCAGCTAACAATATATAATCTTGCTATATTTTGAAAGACACAAATTATTTCTAGTTTGGCATTATCTATCCAATCTATATCATGCATGGCCAAAGTGGTGGACACGGGGTTTGAACCCGGGAACTTCAACTTACAACACTATCAAACAAACAAACTCACCATATCCAACAAGGTAATACCATTTCCATCTTGAACTGTTCGCTTCAAATACTTCAACCAACATGACGTAAAGTTGAAAGCCTTCCAATGCCATCCAACAGAAAGCAGCAAGAAAGAAATAATGGAGCGAACCAGCAATGATCGAACAAGCAATTTTATTCTGCGTTTGGTTGATTCCGATTAAAAATATCGTTTCAGCGATGAGAAGGCAGATGCAGAGGTGCTTGTGAATTGTGTTGCGATCGTTGTAAAGGTTTCTGGAAAAAAGGAAATCGAAAATTTTGATTACTGTAAACTACAGCTGTTCTAGGGGGTGTAAGGAAGGTGTGTCGATTAGACCAGTGGCTCCCAATCTCTCTGCCCCGGCGGACCGGCGATAAAATATTGAATTGTTCAAAAGAGCAAACAATAATTGATGTTTGAGTGACATACTCCGAAAAAATTACAAAAAACTGAAACATTTAGGATATTTAAGGAGGTGCTGTAAAAATATTTGAAATGGACTAAGTCCCCTTTCATTCTATTCTCGTCGTGAAAGTCGGCAGGTAAATCATGAGTCTAAACAAAGCTCCAGTTGTGTTACCTATGTATGGTGCTATCGTTTGACTTCTCGCGTCAGTGACGTTATTAAAAGGCGTAGGCTGGGCGTGTCTATGAAACTATATCCCTTTGTTCTATTTAAGCTTTGACACAGTATCGTAAGGTCCAAAGATGACTTTAGACAAGCAACTATTTACTATGACTGGGCAATTCGAATCAATTGGGAGTAGTTAATCATTCGAATTGGTTTAAATTTAAACGAAAATTTATAATTGCCGCCATCTTGTTTTTTTAATATTTGTCAGAGGTTAAGGTGAGGGTTGGAACCCACCCGTCTTTTATAAATGTAAAAAAGAGCATTTCTCTGTATCATGCACAAACGGGGCTTTCGATACTTACTTCTCCCTGGCTGCGCCTCTGCCAGCATTTTTACCTAGCAGTGGATGGTTGTGCATAGCCTTGTTTGGAGCGATAGCGTTAAATACCACCTATAAAATACAAATTTCATCTGGAAACTGGCAACGGTTATAATATTTCAATTGTTATGGTTTTTGTTTCAATGTTTTCAAAACATTCGCGACGAAGTTCCGCTTAGCGACCGAGGAATTTTAAACAAATGCTAAATTGTTATCTCTCGTGGATGAGTTTGTTTTTGGAAAACTCCTTTTATTTGATAAAAAAAGTGCATGACATTTCTAAAGTAAAGGCTGTGTTATCGATGGCTCATTTTTTTACAACGTTCATACGCGATATTCGCACAGAATAATACCCTGTCTTGTATGAACCATAAATAATTATAAAACAAAAACTAATACTGGCAAAACTAAATGATCTTCTAATGACAAACCAAATAGGCCATTCGGTAATTGTGACGTCAAAGCTTACCTGAAATAACAGAACGTAAAGATGCACATTACGAGGCAGACAATAGAGATACAAATTCCAATACTCGTTATGATGTCAAGCACTACGTCATCAATCGGTGCCATGGTAACTCCCGCGTGATTTACAAGAAGCGCGAAACTTGTCAGGTGATCACATTCACATGCTGTATGGGTCTCGTTGTTCTCTATCATTCGACAACCAGTGTCGCTCCAGTTGCCAGAATTTGTGCTGTAATAGAATAGAATAATGTAATGATTGTAATAGGGATTTGAGTATAAGTCCGAAGACAATTTATCTTGACCTATTTTTGTTAATTTCCACTGGGGATAAATTTACCATTTCAAAGAGTACTCTCGTGGTATGTGTATCAGGCTAGGGTTAGGGCATAACTTTATTCTGATTTTCTTCATTTTAGTTCGATTACGAGTTCGGGGACTGTCTGTGTGTTAGCCAAGTGAATATACCCCCTACACATAGGCTTCCGTTCTTCTACACAACTTGATGTAAAATAGATGAACAAAATGAATGTACATCTTAAAAGGTTAATTGTATCTGCATTCGGTGTATATTTTGCAAACTCTGATAAAGGAGACTTGGAACTGTTTCAAAGTCAACCCTATCTGATCACATTTATGTTGGAAGGTTGAATTTATTCATCCCTTTTAGCGTGACATTTCTATCAATACTCTTATTCGATACTTCACTTTGGGCTAACTTGTATATGCAAACACTCATTGAAAACTACTTTTAACTTATCAAAACTTATTACATGGATATTATCACACGAATATGACAAGCAAATTACACTAACCTCTCCGAGTAATCCCAGTAGACGCAGCGGTGTGGCAGGTGTGACGGCTAAAAATAATATTACACATTTAATCCAAATAGGAAAACGAGATGATAAAGTGTTTATGGTAATTCAATATATAATGGTCCTAAATGAATGAAAGATTATAAATTCTGACAGTACCAAATAATCTTCGCGGTAATGGGTAAATTTGTGTAAATTCTGGAACAGTAAACCTTGTGTGCGAATTGCAAAAAACTATTTATGTGATAAATGGGACACAATATATTTATTTGCATAATATTCATCACTACGTTGCAAATCAGATCGCATCGCATTAAAGTACAGAGATCCCAGAAATGGCACATAAAAAATTAAACACCTACATTTTCGGAATAACATACAACAAAATTATGTCATAGCTATGTTCATTTTTTTGCGCAAAAGTACAGCTCGAAAACACACCAAGAACTTAACAACACTGGAATACAGGATATCATGTATTGCATTGCGAGTTTATATATGGTCAAATTAGGAGGCTATTTTACAGCACAAAGAATTTTTCTTGAAATCTTTTCAATGTCTATTCAGCTGCCTAGGCAGATCCAACCTCAGATCGTGATTGTAAAAAAGCATAAAAAATCATAAAAATAAAGATATGTTCGTGAACCCACCTTCTTATGTTCAAGCACGATTACGGCAGGTTTATCCAATTTTGTTTGGAATCCATGACCTCTAAAAGTTGCTGATATAACTTTGGAGTCTATTTTCCACGTTGTGACATCATCGATGACGTCATTACTTGATTGGTCGAGAAAATCACCAAGGTTTTGGTACAACGCAAAAACGACGGTCGCTGGACCTAAAATGGAAGACAAAATGTTTGATTACGAATAGCACAACCGATAATAATCAATGAAACGTAAAGAGACAGAACAATCTATGTTTGCTACAGATGGTGCAGATGCTAACGGTTCTGTCTGAATAACTTTCAGGCTAGAATGAGGTCATATTCCACAAAAGTAAATATTTTCAACGTTTTTTACCGCAAACGCATTTAAACTTGGGTCACAAAAAAGATAAAGAGTCCCTGATTGTGTAAAGCTTTGTTTGGGGCGAATCTCATTGGGCGTTCCAGAAGTATGTGCACCAAGATGGCGCACAACCTGATAACCCTAACCTGGTACACATACTATGTTAAGGTTGTGCGCCATCTTAGTGCACATACTTATGGAGCATCCGCGATTGGTACGTCAGTGTTCACCTAAAACTCTTCTATTAGTAATAACAAATCAATAATACTAATTACACGATCGGAACCAATGAAACATGACGAGACAGAATAATCCATGTTTATTTCAAATGGTGCCAATGCTGGTGATTACGTCTGAATTATATTTTGACTAGAATAGGGTCATAAATAAGAACCTATAATTTCAAATTAACTTTTTTTAACTGTAAACTTCATTTGGAGTGGATTCTAATAAATATTTTCTACATTTACCTCTTAGCGCGTCAGTGTTCCCCAAAAATTTAACTATCAGTAATTTTTTTTTGGAGTTTGACGCCTTGCGTTTTGAGTAAGCTTACTTACATTTAAGAAAATAAAAACTACAAAATGACAGTGATTATCGACGTTCAAGCACAAAAATTATAAAATTTGTGGTGTCCATAAAGTCCTAATTTTTTTTTAAATTGCAAAGTGAATTCATCGATACCATATATTGCTTTGGCCCACCCAGGTGTATAAAATGAAGTAAAATACTTAAACAGTTACTGATTAAAAACCAACAAACCTGGTTAAGGTATATTGAGAACTGACTTCATAACAAAATTGAAAATGTAAAGGGATTTTATGAACACTCTGTTTAATGATTTAAAATGTACTACATAGTAATGGTAATAAGTGTAGCTATCATAAACCACGATATCTCGAAAGCGTTAAATAACGATTTAATGGCATTATCATAATCGCGAGAAACGCTTTTAGACACAACTCCCAGACAATTTAAATATCGTTTAATATCTAAAGGTCGAAGTTGAACGGTAGATAAGCAGAGACAAACGCAAAGCAAATGTGAGGCCGTAGAAGATAAATTTTAAACACTAAGCATTTCCCAAAGGTGTATTTAAAGCGCGTTGCGATTTGTACAGCATGGTATTTGTAATGGCAATTCGATTGCCTATTGTAAAGCGAGACGAGGCCAACGTAAAACAAATAAGGCCATGTAGCAGATATAAGTAAAAACACTTCGCGTTTCCCGAAAGCATATTGAATTGTGCAAAACCTGTCAAAATCCACCAAAACACTTGATAGACGTGCAAAAACTGTTGGAAATCGCCAAAAAAAAACTCGAAAAAAATGCAAAAACCGTCAAACCCGTTGTAAATCGCCAAGAAAAAACTTGATAAAACGCACAGAAACCGTTCAAAATCACCAAAAAAGCTCGATAAATCGTACACAACCTGTCAAAAACCACAAAAATAATTGCTAAAACTGGCAAAACCGTTCAAAACCGTTAAATGACACATTAATACCTAGCGTTACAATTAGCGTTACAGCAAAGAATTCGTAATGATAATTTGATTGCCTATATATTGATGAAGGTTCCTACCGCCAAATAAGTTAAATTGATATTATAGTAGTCATATATGCTAATAGTTGTCTAGGTCAAATAATTGTTCAAACATACTCAAGGAATACGCTTCTCATTTGAAGTGTCAAAATTTTGATAAAATACTCCAAAGAAAACTTAACGATAGCTTTCTTGTAGTGGTTTACCTCCAGCTTCACTTCGCTCAGGTGTTATGCGGATATTTATATTGCGTATCGGAGACGATTTTTCCGGTTTAGGTAAGGAGAGCGAACCCGAGGCCCGAAACAATTTCAGAAAATAAAAAATGAAACTACAGGCTTTAAATCTTTTGTTGTATTGATGTACTTATTTAGATATTTATTTTGTATTTTTCCGGTTTAGGTAAGTAGCGCAAACCCGTTTTTTCAAATTTTGCCCAAATCATTTCAAGACAAACAGTGATTTACATGGATATATTACATGGAAGATCGAATTTTTCGACCCAAGGAAAAAATACTAACGTGAACTCAGAAGTTGAAAAATAGTTTTTCTGTAGTCTATTGCACGATTCATTATTTGTAATGGTACTGAGTAAACTAGGAAGTTGAATGTTTTCCGGTTTAGGTAAGAAGGGAAAAACCGAATCATATATATTTTACTTTAATTTAACTCGTTTAATATACATAGTGATTTTAAACTAAATCAACTAGAAATTTAATTCCTTGCTGTTCGGGTAAGAGCGAGAACCTGAAGCACCGGAACTCCACATTTAATTGTTGAATGAATAGAGATTTATATGAATTTTGACTTCGCCGACATGAATGGTTCAATTTTTTGACCAAGGTAAGAAAACCCAAATTACTAAAACATCTCAGAAGTTGACAACACATTGCAGTGGATAATATCCTGGCTTTTTAGTATGGTTATTTTAGATTATTGGCCTGCCTTCTAACCTAACCTATGATAAACAACAAATCAACAAAAACCGGTAGGAGGTCCATAACGGGATTTTGCCCAAGCATCCTGACTTACTCAAATTCAAGAAAAAAACAGATTAAATAAAAAAAGGCATAATTTAGGTACGGAGCAATCTCCAGAGAGTAGCTACCAGTTTCATTAAAATCCTACCTAGGCCTTTTTGTCCCATAATTTCGGAGTCGTGAATTCTTATGACGTCATCACCACAATTTTTCGTGCCAAAAGCACAGGATTCTTCACTTGGAAATGACGTCACAGATTCTGTCGTCATCGGTTCGGATTTTCTTTCCCTGACGTCTACTTGAACAATCATTTTGTCGTTTACAATTATGAATGGTTCTAAATATATTGAAAAAAAAACACTTATAAAAAATTAAATAAAGCGATGGTGTTAATTCATAAGAGAATGAGTTGCGTGAGGCAAGGGTCATGTATTACGTAAAACAGCCAACCTCATATTTTATATACCTTCAAGCAAAATGAGGTTCCGAGTTTTCGACTAATTCTGTTATGAGAGTTGCAAGAGACCGCAGATTCGCTACGAGCAACATATAATTTTTATTTGCAAAAAAGAGATTGATAATTGCCATTGCATTAAAGAATCCTAATGCTATGCTTTTATGAAGTATGAGAAAAATATTTAAAATGGTTCTCTTTCAAATTAGGTGAATAAATAATGATAATTGTCAAAAACATTTTGACGTGGTAAGCTGACGTAATTATGACACATGATACTACACTGACGTCATAAATTTATCCATAATAAACATCGATCAATAAACCGTAAAAAACGCCAGACATTGTGACGTAACAGTATGAAGTCACTATTGAAGCTAGGCCATAAATGTACCAGAACCACTTCATAAATCTGATCTCATCAAATACAACGCAAAAAGTATTTTGATAATAAAATGACGTCATAATTACGTACCATTATTTCTTGTATCAGGAGGTGTCATAGCAACTGAGTCGGCATAAAGGAACGCAGCCTTTTCAACTTCATTCATCAGTGTATCCGCAATTTCAGCTTTTTTCTTCGTATTCATGTCTTTCATTGATTCAGCAGAATTGAGTATCTTGTTTGCAATAGTTGTCACCGACTAAAAATGTGAAAAAAAATTTGATGAATTCTGTGCAAAGTGTGCGCGGTGGTCTAGTGGTTAACCGTTAAACCTAACTTTGCTGGTATCGCGTCTTATGCTCCATGCCCACCCAAAGTGTAATAAATTGGGTAGAAAATACCCAGATTCCTGTCCTTCTCGTACGGGGTGAATGTAGTATTTCTATTTTTACATGTGGACGCGATGGCCGAGTGGTTAAGAGTTAGACTCGACCGTGCATCACAGGATAAAATCAACCTCCATGTTCACCATCTCACCCAAAGTGTTATAATTGACATTGTCGAATGAGTAGACAATGTCGAATTGGAAAGATTACGGGCATGGAAATACCACCGCGCCTTCTGCCTGAAAAGCATTTGCACGAACGCCACTGAATTGTAGGAAGATATCTTCATTTGGAAGAACCAAACCTTTCTGGCACGATCTACACAATTTTTCACTCCATGGGAGAGGTGGTTCGCATAGTATTTGAACCCGAGTTGTGTATTCTGTGATGGCAACAGAGTTAAATAATACACTTTAAGAGCTTAGACGAGGTTTGCGCAACCTGCGGTCTTCGGAAAACTTGTGCATCCCGCGGAGAAGCGTCAGTTTTTAACTGAGGTTTTTAATTTAATTTAGTATGTGCGAATAATTCCGAACCCTTTGCGTTGCAAAGCCCATATCCAAGTCCTTTAACCGAACAACACATGTCATAAGATCAACCAATAACATATTTGTGTCTGAAACTGGGAGGCCTATGTTAAATGAAGATGTGGACTGCAGTTTCACCCAGTTATTTGTGCCTGGCCTTCCTGTATTGAAGGTTGCACACTATTGGCATAGAGCATCACGTTGCCTATATTAACTCAATTGGAACGATATTTTCCATTACTTCAGATTTTCGTAGTCCAACGTCAATGCTTCGTTGAAGCGATGAATATCGGAAATATATTTTACATTACCGTCTTTGCCAATACACGAAGTAATAATTGAATGATGTGGAATACTAAAACCACAGAGACAAAGCTCCAATAAATTATTCAAATCTTCAAGTCGGGAAACTGAAATGAACGTATAAATGAATAAATTTGTGTTAAAGGGAAGCATTGTAACAGATACGCAGATATGAATGTGGTCCATATTGTTTTTGATGAAATCAATTAGGGACACAAAGTAGATTCGTTTCAATGCTTGCAAGTAACATAGTTCACTAAAAATTGACGGACCGTGACAAGGAAAATTTCTAATCACAAAATCTGCAACTTATGTCTAATTACGGGAATATTACCGACTTGCAACTTAAGCAGGAGGTGCCCAGGAGTCGAATACCCCTTAAATAAACTTTTTTTTGTAATATAGATATCAGTTTTCGGTAGTTTGCCACACTTTTTAGGCTCTGAGGACTCTTGAAAAACCCACAAGAGTTGCGAGCTGTTACAGTCTAAATTGGCAATTTGAAATTTCACACACACTCTCCCTTCGAAAGTTCCCGGCTACGCCGGAATAAGGGTGAACATGCTGAAATAAATAGATGACACGAAGATCGCGCAACAATAGCGGCACAGTAACCGGATAAATTGTGGGCATGGGTATGTGGCGATCAGAGAGTTCAAAGCAGTGGTTACCAAAGTTGATTGACCGGGGGTCAAAAATAGGAGCGGAAGGATATTTGCGGGCCAGGAGAAGGGAGCGCCCACAAAGGGTACCGGTACCGTTACGTTTTTTAACGTTTTTTTTTATATAAAATACCGGTATAATTGAAGTACACGTGCTTAAACTGTGATAATGACGTAACAATTGGTTGTATCTGGATGGCAAAATAAATCATTAGTATTGAATGCAACGTATAAACTATTTCTACATAAGTTCGGTGAGTAATATTAAATTGTTACGCGGGCCGCAGATGGCCCGCGCGGTTTTGGAACCCCTGGTTCAAAGCGATCCTTTATTCCCGGCCTTAGCGGAACCAAATAATATTTCTCCAACCGGTGTCTCTCAGATATCTTTCAGTAACCATAAATACTGTAATGATAATATGTTGTTAACAGATTTGCGGTTTAACTGTTATTCGAATCAAAATTGCCACGCACGTGTCTAGCCTATTCCCATGAGTATAGCAATCAGTAACACTTCTCAATTAGCTAATTCCTTATTTACCGTGTACTTGTGAAATTTTGATACTTTGTAAGAAAGTTATTTCAAGTTTTCCGATCCTATATCCAAAGCCTTCCGGATGCATCCATTAATACGCAAGAATTTGCGAATTTTGAAACAAAAAACACGCCTCTTCAAGTAACTCGATATGTGACCTGATTGTTTAGGACTCAGATACGGGACCCGTAAAATCAATTTTTTTTGTATTTGAACGTCTTTCTAAACAGTCTATTCAATTCAAGAGTACACAAATGTATTTCCGTAACGTTTCGTCTGACCGAAGACAAGACTTCCTCAGACAAGTTTTTTACAACTGTGACAAGAAACTCAATGGCATGCACATAAATACATTTGTCTAAGCGTGCAGCAAGACTCTTGAATTAACTAGAATAGTCATTTTCACTCTTGCTACAGCATCCTTGCGTTATACGCATACGGATCCATCTGCACAAAGGCATAGACCAGGAAAAGGTAATTAGTTTCAAGTAACCTCAACTGTTAGTTACGTTTTCAAACAGTCTCGCTCGTTTTTGACAGCGGCCATCAGGTGAAAAGTGGCCATACTTGGTCTGTGGTAAGTATATCCTTTGTCCTGACGTAACATTTCGAGAGATCACTAGAGGTCACATTTACCAGTAACGGCGGATAGGATTAAACCTTAATTCGTATGTGTGTATGATTGGAATACGCCTGGGTATTAGATAGACGCGTGAGGAATTTACATATTTACTTTGCGAGAGTACTTTATATGTTTCTCTGCGCAAATTTTTGTTATTAATAATAATAAGTAAGATTTTAACTTAACAGATTATTTTTGCGACCAAGTTTCATACAAGCCACGTTCAAGACGTACAACCTCCCATTGTAAAATTCCATAATAAAACAGTTTCGATTTTTTAATATCGTTACATTTGATTTGAAAAAGTGCTGAAAGATTTAAATTAGTCCGTTAGATCAACAGTCGCGTCTATTTCTGACTATTTTATCCGGATGGGATCAGTCTTCAATTAGCTGAGCAGATGAGTGATGAATTGCAACGTCTGGGAAACTATTCTCAATACTATTGAACTAATGTAAGTTTAAAACGGTGTTTGTAACCAACATGTACAGCATTTGGTACCCCGAAGTATGTGAACCAACATGGCGGACATCGGAACGTAGTATGTGTACCAAGTTAGGGTTAGAGCCTAATTTAAGAACAAATATTACGGGAATCACTTGGCTAGTCCCCGAACTCGTAATAGAACTAAAATAATTAAAATTGGAATGAAATTTAGCTACGTGTTGAAGAAGGATGTTTAAATGTATGTGGATTGTAATTGTAATGACGTCATATCTCAACTTATATCATTGCTATACAACGTGATGTCACGAATAAACGTCATCAGTATACAATCTCATTTACCACAGACCAATCAAAATGCAAACAGGTGAAGCATGTCATGACGTCAATATATCATTAAATCATACTATTTTATCAATAATACAATCTCACGATATCACAATCAATTGAGATAATATTATTACATATGCAAGATTACGTCACAAGCTTATGACGTCACTCTAATTAAATATAAATATTCACGCAAACAAACCTCGAGTATAATTTCAACTTCTTCCACCGATCCTAACGCCGGGTCTTCCAATAACTTCTTCATCAATTCAATCGCAAGTTGAACAGACTTTTCACTGTGTTCGGTTTTTTCGGAAATTTGCAAAGCGAGAGTCGAGAATGCAGTTGCTCGATCTATGAGACCTGGAAAGGAAGGAGCATTTATGGATATTAAAACCGAATAGTCTTGCAAACGGAATACATTCTCAAAAAGTATTTTTATAGTATAGAATAGGAGGGGTGTGCAACCTGCGACCCGCGGGCCAAATGCAGAACATAGGGAAATATTGTGCAGCCCGCGAATATGTGCCACTTGAATGATAGGCGGTCCTCGAAATGAGTTTTTAATTTAGTTTAACCTGGTAAGTGCGAGTAATTCTGATCCCTTTTCGTCGCAAAGCGTATACCCGAGTCCAAATTTATTATCTATGCCTATGACGTTACAATGCCCTAACAGCTAGCTTGTGAGTAGCGAACAACGCATGTCATAAGATCAACAACCAAAATTTCTGTGCATGCAACTACTAGAAAAGCTTGTGTTAAATAAGGGCGCGTCCGGGGTTTTAGTTTGTATCTTGCCCTCTTGTGTTAAAGATTGCACAGCCCTGATATTAAATATCGAAAGGATTTTTGAGTTTGGTTAATTAAGTACATAATTTAATTTGAATAATAACACATTACCTGCGTCGAATTTTGTTTCCACGTCATTTGCCCACGTGATACATTTTGACAAATCAGGACCTGCCAGGTGCCATGCTGCTTCACGCATGGATAGTTCACGGACGCATTTCCATATAGCGAATTCTAAAATATAAAATATGGAGATATTTAGTAAAGTGCATGAAAGCAAGGATAATTGAATTAAAACAAATTCCAAGTGCCATTTTCACCCGAAAACTGAAATGCAATGTCATAATGAAGCTATATAGATTTGAAGGTGACCTTACATTTGAACCCATGTGTATATCCGCGGGTTCAATCTATATGAGGGTGCTAAAACCCATGGGGTAGGGTGAGTATGGGTTCAAATATCCGTAAAACAAAAAATAATTCCATAGGTGCAATAGTATGCAGGTGCAATTGTCAGGGGTTCAAATGTACGTGAGTTCAAATGTAATGGAATCAGATTTGTAGCACGAGGCGCATTGCAAATTTTCGCTTTCACTCATTAATGAAGGGGACTCATTTCCGAGAAAACGACCACTGGGATGACGAGATGATTTAAGAGATAAGGCATATTCATTCATGAGCAGAGTTGTAAATGTCCGCTTTCATTCAGAAGTAAACTCATTTCTAGATATATGATCATTAAAATTGCGAGTTGGTTAAGAAATAAAGTATAATCATTCGTCGCGAATGTTTTGAAAACATTGAAAACAAAAACCATAACAATTAAAATGATTTATTCGCTTGCCATTGTTTCCAGTCAATTCAGAATATTATTGATATTTTTTTCTCTTATAAGATGTGCGCATTTCGCTCTTAACAAGGCACTTCACAAGCACCCCATGCCCGCCCCCTCAGGGTGTATTAAATTGAGCAAACAATACCGAACCAGTATGACCCAGGTCAATTTAAACTGAAGTAGCATCTTTCGTAGCAGAGAATTCATGGGTAGAGTTACAGGTACCACTGAGATGCACAGAAAATATATATAAATTGTCGGTGCGCGCGTTATGTGCCATCAACTACCAAATGAGAATGATGCATTTTCCGTATTGCTGAATTTTTACACCTATTCCTGAATCATTTCTAAGCAACGTTACGGCAAGCGCTGAAATGTTGAGAGAGCTAGTGAAAATACATTTACGGTGCATTTATACATTAAACTTTTTACGCCGGTTATCTTTGAAATCGCATGAGCCGCTGAAGCAATTTAGATTTATAGCAGCGCATGGTGCGTATTGCAAATTTTTGCTTTCACTTAGAAGTAAAGGGAACTCATTTCTTAGCAACGTCACGTACTGCAACTAAAATGGCAAGATCTGTGGGCACACACTAAGAAGGAAAGTATACTCATGCCCGATTTAAGTTAGCCACCACTAAAATGCGAAGAGCCAATATAAAGACTTATGGTGCGCGCCAGAAAAAACAGAATGACGTTAAACCTGGAACAATTCTAGGCATCACTATCAAGAAAAATAGCTTCTACTGGAGATCCTAGTAAAAAAACTTGGTAGCTTAAACATTTCTTCCACTAAACCTAAGTAGAATGATTAAAGCAAAATTAGAGGGATTTTCTTGCGTGTTTACTGTTTCCGAACTTCAAAATGGACGGACTATTTTTGATATCGACTCAAAATGGCAACATGGCAGCTCAGAAGATTATATATTCATATCATACCCAATTTATTATGCTGATTTTTTGCAAACACGGACGAATGCATTTATAAATTAGATCCCAAGTCCAAAGTGACAAGGCTTTATTTAATTTGTTTCGGGAAATTTAATTATTTTTATGTAAGTCAAAGAATTCATTGAAAAAGTCGAATTTGGGGGAAAGATAAAATTAAAATTGGCTTTGATTTAAATTAGATTCGAATCGTGCTCGGCCGGATTTTTCGGATGGATTTAATAAATTCGACCGAACTTTTCGGACGAAATTGTCATTCTCAACAAGATTTTCGGACCAGTTTAGAAGTGCGCGACCAAATGGAACCCATTCGTATGTTCTGAGCTCATTCCCTTCTAATTGTGTGTATTCAATCAACCTTTATGAGATACTTAGCGTGCTCGCCAAACTTTTTTTTTATTTCATCTGTTTTTTCGGCCGAACTTTTCGGACAAGATTATTGTTCGGACGGACATTCCCGACCAGATGTATATGTTCAATTGGACTTCAATTGGACCGATTTTTCATCATTTTCAGTGATATATTCATCTGGATTTTTTGGGAATTTCTTTGTGTTCGACGGTAAAGTTTTGAAAAACACTTTGTTGGTTTAACCATACATATTTGTGTGTACTATCGAATCGGATTGACCTGGTAAATTCGACCAAAATTTTCGCATAAGATTTGGTGTGTAGACGCGGCTGAACAGTTCGGATTTGAGCATTCTACCAGCTTTAGGACATTTCGGATAGGGTCAAAATTTTGACTGGCACACACATAGAGATGATGATTTTATATAGAAAGTTGCAACACTTCATTATGCCACTCTGGTAAAATTTCATAGACGAACAGTTAAACCTATATATGTACTTGGACCAAGAGCAACGGAGGGACCACTTATTCATGACATTCTAAGCATCGAGGAGCACTTTTCTATGACACTCGGCTAAAATTTAAACGACGAATAAACTTCTATCTCGCTGTTGGAAAATATGTATTCAAAACATGAGAGAAAAAGTGAACACTTAATCAAGACATCCGTAACAACAAGGAACACTTCATCATGACATTCGGAGTATCTTTGGGTCTCAATTATATTTATTGTCAAAGTCATTCAATAATTAATGCGTAATTCGACACGGGAACTGCGTTTAGCTGTTCATACAAATTGACAGGCGGAAGGAAATGCAGACAGAAAATATTGTTTATAAGTAATTGAAAAGGTGTTTATTTCTATATTATATGTAGGTATGCCAAGCAGGAAAGGATCGCGGAAAAGCAATTCAATCTTAATCCGTGCCTGCGCACCGCAATACTTTGGCTCTTGAGTATAAAATAGGGTATTCCCGTTGTGTGTGTACCAGGTTAAGGTTAAGCCATAATTTTATTCCGACTTTTCTTAATTTAGTTCTATTACGAGTTCGGAAACTGTCTGTGCTAGCCAATTGAATATACACACCCCCTGCCCATAGATTCAGTCCCTTTACACAACTTGACGCAAATTGCCTAGTTAGACATAATGCCCAGAGGGTCGTGTTTTCAAGAGTTTTGAAGTTCTAAAAAGCGCTACGAAATATTGCTATGTGTGATATAGAGAAATGCACATGTCAGGGCATGAACCAACAAAATTGCAAGACGTGGAACAGCAATTAATTAATATAACATACGTGAACTAAATAAACAAAACAATGAACAAAATTGCTGATCTGCGTGTGATGCCGGCATGTGCATACAAACAACAAAAAAACTATGCATGTACCGCTGTTTCATACATGAAAATCAGAAAACTGTTAAATATGGTTGAAATAAAGAAAATTGTAGAATTCATCTCAACATTTGGTATACAGAAAAAAAAAATTCTCCGCGATTCGAAATTTCCGTCCGAACCGATTCGAATAATTTACTGCTCTAATTACGACGCTGCAAAAACGCTTTTATATTAAGTCGAAACGAAAAATTTTCAGTTCTGTATATTGTATGACATTTTCATTGCAACTTACCACCTGTTCTTTCCTAAGTGGGCCATTTACAGATAATAGACGGATATTCAAAACTCAATATGAAACTATGAATGAAAAAGTTTATTTTCAAATAACAAGCGTCCATAAAAATTCGCCTGCATGCTTGTTTCCCCGATTTAATGCAATAGCCATTCACGATTCGGTATCTTCATCGACATTTTCAACGGAAATTTATATTCGTAAAACTTTAGTCGTAATTTCAACAAACACAAGTGGACCGGATGAAACACTTCGGTGAGCCGGATCCAGCCCGGGGGCCGTAATTTGCCCACCTCTTTGCATATTGTGACGCTACAAAGACGCTTTTTGAATAAATTTAAAACAAAAAATTTTCTGTGTTGTATATTGTATAAAATTTTGCCGAAACTCACCGGCGGATCCATCCGAGCAAGACATGATCGCTGTGTGCCCAATGTTTGTTTTAGGCCAATTGATATTCCCTCTTGTAGTCGGGAAGCAGAAGTCTACAAGCGGGAAGAAATCCTCTGTTAAATATAGTTGGATGTAAAATTTATGAATTGAAGAATACATATAGAAATTCATCATGGCTAGATTTGGTTTGGCTTCGCGGGATAGTATTTCATTATTGTTGTTGTTGTTTTGCGCAAAATGTTCTTTCCACAAACGGATGAGCCCATGAAATTCGTCAAAATTGCGATAGTTGCTGGCATTTGCATAATAGTACATGCTATACGGTCTGTTTTCTTCATCGAGCAAGTCGATGTGTTTAGTACAATTATCTGGATAAGGTAAGCTATTCTAATGCACGGCTTAGACGGTAGATCAGACGAGTCAGTGGTTTGCCCTATAATTAAAATTTTTCCGAAATGAAGATCAGATAATTTAAATTCTCAACTCCAAATTAATGACAGACGGTTGCGGCTTACCCAACTATTCAAGCCAATGCACTTGGAACCAGAATACCAGGTAAGGTCATGCTACCGGGACAAAACCCACCGGTTCCCAATATTCATTTAAGCCGTCTCATCAACTCCCCCCCCTCAAGATGAACAGAAGAAACTAACTGAACAACGTATTTCATTCTATCTCCCCTTTTGCCCTTCTATACTCGGCAAAGGTACCATTTTTATTTTAACTGTTCAAATGTGAAACATAATAAAATTGGTAGAAACTATTTGAAATGCTTCTTATTGAAGGAACAGCGAAAATGCAAGAAGTGTTGAGTTTGTTGAAGTTTGAAAACCATTGATTTAGACCGTCTAATCAGCTTTCCTCTCCCCGCGAGGAAAATAGTAAACTGAATAAAACACTATATCTCACCATCTGGCTCTCCAACACTCGGTAACGGTTGTACTGGTACACTGGATACCAAAGTTGGTCTAGCATGCCTAGTTGTTGTAGTTCTGGTAGTTGGTTTCCTTTTAGGTGTCGTAAGGATCCTTGTGGTGTACGTGGATTTTGTTGTTTTAACACGTCCACCTGTGGATAGTAAATAAACGTTAATATATTTGAGTGGGTGACTATAAGAAGGGTGTTAAGCTGAAATTCATGGACTTGAAGGTCGAATGTCACATAAAAGTTCTTCCGTTTGTTATAAAAAGTGTTCCCATATAAATGAAATAGAATGACAAAATTTCATGGTAAAATCTTGAAAATGAAATTTGAAAAAATGAAATTTCATCTTCCGATTATTGAGAATATGAAATCAATTTTTGTATTAATTGCTGGAAAATCGAATTTTTTGCAAGAACAACAATTCAAAGAAACCATCGGAGCTCGGAGCAGAGATACTTGCCCTCACTCAGAGATGAAGGTGACCCAAAAGCTAGCAAAGTGTCATAAGCTAAAGAAACATATACGCTTCAAGGATGAGAACAATTCAAATGGCAATTGGGACCCTATATTTATCCCTATTCCTAACTATAGATCGGTGGTATATTACGCCCCAGCAAATGGAAACTGATGCGAGGCTTAAATAACAAAAAATTCAAAATTACGCACAATATCTAGCAAATATAAACAAACATACCTCCGCCATTCTTATTCTCGTCGTCAAAATGTAGCTTATAGTAGACAGCATTGGCATTATTTTCATCCCACACGTATAAAAGTCTATCTCGAGGACTATAAGCTACAGAGGTAGCATTGTAACGAAGAAACGATCGACGGCCAGAATCGCTTCGATAATTATTCCCATACGCAAAATTAGGTGCCCGGACTGCGTCAAAGGGAACATTAATTCCGCGTTTTTCTTGTTTAAGTTCCGTGTTATAGAAATAGTCCATTTGTCCAGTTGACGAACTAATTGAATATAGAACTCCGCATATGATAAAAGTGTGAAGAGATTCAGATATTCGAAGATTCGTGTTCCAAGTTTCCTGAAAATAATAAAATAAAAATATATGTATGAAAATAATTTTTATGTAGTGTTTTATTAACATAACAAAGCTCTGAATAAGTTTCTTTCTACGTTTCTTTGAAGCAACGGACGTAGCCAAAAATTTTCAAATGGGGGAGAGGGGGTGTAATTGCCTGGTTAGACTGTAACAGCTAGCCCGGTGGCGTTTCAAGTTTTTAACATTTTCCCACCGCAACCGCCACCACCCTGGCTACTCTTCTGAGCAACGGTATCTTTCAGGTTAGGTGTTGCCTATTTAATTTGACACGTTTGGATGAGATACGCACAGCATTGGAAACTGACATGATTAACCCGTAATGATATGGTTTGAGGCGTGCTTATCCATTAAGCTTAAAATCAAACTTTGAAAAGTTTGAAATCAACTTTGCTTTTAAGTTGTCAGATTTGAAGTGGAAAATTGAAGTAATTAATTAGGAAATTCGTGTTTTTATTTTGCTGCATTTAGCGTTTTTTTTGCGTAGTTTCGAATCGATCTATTCGACGATATGGCGAGTTTAGGCAAAAACTATTTATTTACGAAAGAAAATATAAACAATCGATGCATTTTACTTTATGAACAAGTTCCGCTACCGGCCGATATAGATCTCGCGACTGTAATACTGAATCTACATCCGTTTTACGGACAAGGCCTTTAATTATTCATTATCGGGGGACGGGATATAATCAAAGATCCGTATGACGTCAGATTTTGCTATAATACAGCAATGAAGCGCTTGCGATATGTAATACAAATTCGCTAAAAGCAATTGAATAGCCCTTCGACGAAAAGTGAAAACAGCACAGATAGGAAAATTTGCAAGCAATATTTATACATGTGAGTTCGCCAAAGTTTTCACGGTTTTTCACTGTTTTTGCAATGTTTTTGGGGGGTTTTCACGATTTTTGCAAGTTTGCTAAAAGCAACTGAATATCACTTCGACTAAAAGTGGTTTTTCACGGTTTTCTGTACGTTTGCTAAAAGCAATCGCCCTTCGACTAACGTGGAAAGAGCACTGATGAGAAAATTTGAAAACGATAAATATATGTGCAAAATTGCTCATAGCAAGCTAATAAATCAAATAGAAGTAGAAAGACTACTAAAGGAACACTACAAGCTAATCTGTTTGTTCCAAGTAAGCGGAACCTATATTGGCAATGGGGAGCCCAAGAAGTGTGTACTAATATGGATGTAACTAATTTTGTTCGCCAATTTACATTAAGTTGTGTAAAGGGACTGAAACCTATGGGCATGGGGTATATTCCCTTGGCAAACACAGACAGTCCCAGAACTCGTAATAGAATAAAATTATGGCCTAATACTAATCTGGTACACATACTACGGGAGTACCCAAGTTTGAGCCTAGACATCGAGAGACGCAAAAAGCTGCTCTTCACGTTTTTTTTTATATATATTTCGCAAACCAATAATATATATGGATCAATCAGGCCCAATTTAAACGTAAGTGTCGAATACAACATGTTTCTTTTCAAATATGATCAATTTCGTGGATGGATGATCATGATCATTCGAGTGTGAATTCTACTGTCACACACGATTAACCATGCATAAAATTCAGTAAAACACGCAAGACATATAGTGATTCTAAGTGAATTAGGAGTATTGGTACTCACTAACACAAACAAATGTATTTCGGTAACGTTTCGTCCGACCAAGGTTGGACGGGACCTCCTTTTAAAAATGTAAGAAAAAAGACGCTCCCAGAGGTATATGCACCAAGATGGCGCACAAGATGAACCCTAACCTTGTACACATAATATGTTCAGGTTGTGCGCCATCTTGGTGCACATACTTCTGGGGGTCCAAAAAAATTCTATGACACATAGCAATTTTTGTTAAAACTTTTTTTTAAATCCACAAGTTTATTGGGCACCCACTTTTCGGGATTCTCCCTCCCCCCTCCCTCTGGCTGCTTGTACACGGCCTTGTTTGGAGACAAAGTAGAAACCTCCGGAAGTGTGCGCACCAAGATGGCGCACAACCTGAACTTAGGTTGTGTACCAGGTTAGGGTTCAGGTTGTGCGTCATCTTGGTGCGCATACTTCAGGAGCACCCAAAATAGTATTAATGGATACGTCGAATTAAAAATCTAAATCTGCCAAAAGCTTACCGATATAGTTAGTTGGTCTTTATCAAGTTTACTGATAGTGATAAAGCCTCTTTGTCGTGGATAGATAACCCAGATTCCATTCTCATCTACTGATAAGGAGATATCCCGATTCTGAGTGATACCAGTTTCTGGCTGTATAACAGTTTCTTTTGTTCGTCGCTGAGTGATCAGACTGTATCGAATGATACTGCGGGAATTCGCCTGAAAAGTATTTTATCGTTATTATACCTGGACAAAATATAACATCAAAGGACAGGAGTCGAGAAAAATTCAAATTGGTATTTCAGTATTCTTCATATTCAAAACTGTTGGGTATTGCCCATCCGCTAATTTCCTAAGATTACTAAAATATGCATCTCAAAAGGCACGGTTCAGTTGTGACAACGGCTAGACTCAGTACAAATGGTGCAGTTGGTACACGACGATGATCTCACAAAAATACTACCTCCTCACTATATAACATCGAATCGTATAAGGGGTGACACTACTTCCATTTATAGAATTCTGCTTAAATTGTACAAGTGGTACAAATGATACAAGTGGTGCCCGACATATAAAATCATTCTTACCTTTACATAATATAAATTCCTGTCATATACGACAATATTCCCCGGTGCTGCTTTCGAAGGCAAATTATACCGATATGAAGGATTTCCGGTCACAAAATCATCCCAATTCCGGTATTCCTGTATAATTTGTTGACTGGAAGACATGAAAAACACATGATCTGGACTGGAAAGCGGATCTTTCGTCCAAGTTCCAGATTGTGGTTGAATTTCAACTGCAGTCACGATTTCGGATCCGATTCCAGTCAGAGAACCAGGACATCCAAACACTGGAAAATCAAAAGTTTGTTTAATATGATTGGTTGGAATGAGATTTGAACCCGCGATCTCCAACTCAATACGTTTTGTTCGAAATATCCGATTAATCAGTGAACAAACCGGGATACCTGAAGGTTGTAAAAATTCCTACATTTTAAAGCGATGGCCTTCTTTTATTAGAAAGCGTTTAATTCGCGAGTTGGGTCAATATTTACACTATTTCAAATTTCTAATGACATTGGGCATTGATGGTTGTCACTATATATAAACAAAATACAACACATGAACAAAGATTGGCCACATTGTCTAGCAGAATAACGATAAAAATCACCTAATTTTATTTTTTTCACAGTGCACATTTACTGGTGATATGCCTTATATGACAGCAGTTTCTAATATTTTATGAATCGTGCACCTTTTCCGACGAGTGTAACACCCATGCCCCCTCTACTGTTTATCGTGTTTGTTTATCATTTCTTCACGCATTTGGTCAATAATTCACCAAAGATGAGTTTCATTTATATTTGAGTAAGTGCGTGTGACCTTGTTTCGTGCAAATCTCTCATAATGAATGCATTTAAATTTATAGTATGCATTAAATGACTAAACAGACGAACCAATCAATGGCTAGATTTCAAGATTCAAATATTCAAATTAACCAATTAAATCACATAAAATTTGCAATAAATCTAATCCTGCACAAATATCTAAATTATATTCAAACCAACCATGGCTCGGTAGATAAACATGAAGATACATATTTGAATCACGCTTGGCCATGGATAACTACAGCTAGATAGCCATTGACGTCAACTTTTTAATTTTAAATTAAAAATCAATCAAGTGAAGTAAAAATCAATTTGGATGGAACACAATGTTGCACTTGCGAATACGAGGTAAAACTAAAGTAGCCAAAATGCAATTTTGGGAGTATTGCAGAATAAGTCGATTTGGTCTTGTCTTAACCAAATTCCAAAATGAAAATTCTTTTTTTCAATTGTGGTATCTATGATTTCCACTAATGCGCAACGATATCTGATATCGGGATATTCCCGGTTAGGAACTATCTACCCTAATTATTACTCTTTGGATGAGGTTCTGAACAAGGGAGGTGGCCAGGTTTGAGACTCGATTTGACTAACGATTTAGTTTCTTATCCTTCTATGCGTACGTATATAATGCAAGAATGCTGTAGCACGAGTAAAGATAACTATCTTAATTGATTCAAAGTCTTGCTTCACACTAACACAAATATATTTCTGACCTTGGTGAGACGAAACGTTACCGAAATATATTTGTGTTAATGCGCCGCGGGACTCTAGAATTGCTAAAGTTGCCAAAATGCTGTTTTTGGAAGCAATACTTAATGACTCGATTTGCCCTTGTTTGGGCTAATTCCAGAAGCAACAATTTTTTTTGCAATCCAGATGGTTAAGATAAGCACTGACACAGAATAAGATACATTTCTCAGAAGGATCGTTAACTTTTTTTTCGGCATTATCCGATTCAATATTTCTTGAGTGATAATATCCATTTTGGAATACCTAGATTTAAAATCTATGAGATATTACTCAAAATTAAATTGTTTTCACCTGATACAATAACTTTGCCTTAATTTATTTTCATTTTATTTTTATTTTCATTTTTTTCATTGTTATTATTTACATATGTTTTTGAGGTTATAATTCCAGTGCTCCTATATACAGGGTGTCCATAAATTCCTTTTACAATTTCAATTTGTTATGAAGTCAGTTATCTTGTTTTTTTAAATCAGTAATTGTATTTTTACTTCATTTTAAATATCTGTGACGCCCAAAACAATATATGGTATCGATGAGTTTCCTTTGCAATTTTAAAAAATATTAAGACTTTATGGGTACCCTGCACATAAACCAACTCAAATATTTCAATTCTGTGTCAATTGTTCAAGAGGTTTTCTTAAAAACGACTTTGCCTCGTATGAAGGTTAAACTACACATGCCGAGACTTTGCCAAAATTTCAGTTCATGAACTCGTAACGTGTCATTTTATTGTGCTTAACGATGTGTAATATATACTGACATGAAATCAATATATAGGCTACGTTAGACCGCGCTGTTGAAGAAGTTCGGTAAAACCAAGGTAAGGCCTCGATACCTCGATGGAAAGACTAAATTGATAAAAGAGCAAGTTTGCACATAGCAAGGCACCGACTTCTCGACTAAAAATGATCACTGATACGCCAAAAGTCACATTTGTATATGCAAGCTTCGCAAAAGCAATGTTTCGACACCACAACTAGAAGATGAAATAGAATAAAAGGGTTGACCCGATGTGAGCGAGATTTACACGAAAATCTCTTGTTCAGTTAACATTTCGTGAAAGGGAAACAGTAGAATACCGACAAGCGGCCACTCATGAAATAAAAAATCATTTGTAGGCAAAGCCTTTAACCTCAAATTGAATCCAAATTATTGAAATTGAAATCCTTAATAATTTCAATCAATATCAAATAATATATTTATTTGAAAATATGGCTTCAGTTACTTACTGTATTTCACACAGTTGAACGTTGTCTTTAAATACTTGTGTGTACCAGGACAAGGATCAGGAAAGTTGGCTGACGAAACTTGAAAGGAACATTGTGTCTGATTGTTGCATCTAAAAAACAAGATTGGATTACGTCAGTGGCGTATCTACGTAAAATGGCGCTCATAACAAGTATATGTATTGCAACACCACAAATACGCGAAATGGCAAAAGAAAAAACGGCGCTCCCGTAGTATGTGCACCAAAATAGCGGATACCGGAACGTAGTATCTGGGTTAGAGCATATTTTATCCCAATTTTCCTTAGTTTAGTTCTATTATGAGTTCGGGGACTAGTCGAATGACTCCTGTAGTATTTATACCTGAAATTAAGGCCTAACCTTAACCTACGCGAGTACGATTTTAGGTTCCAGCAGAGTATATTTCAGGGATTTTTCAAATGAGGTTTAAACCCGAAAATGGGTCGAGAAAAAGCTTATTTTCCCTACTTTTTTGACACAAACTAATGTTAAAACAAATTTTCATCAAATTCGGAAGATTTAGAACCAGTACTGAAACCAACATTACCGAAATAGAACCAAGATTTTATCTTTTGTGCGAAAATATGCAAGCACGTAGGTCAAATTAAAGGAATTGTCAATTCCATTATTTTTTATTATACTTTTTGCTAAAGTATTACTAAATTTTAATTTATTTTTATTTCAGTTACTGGGAATCGCAAAATGTTGGCCGTGTCGAGTAGTTCGTGATGAAAAACGTTTAAAATACACTGATCTATTCCACAAAGAATGAGTAAAAATTTTCGCCATTACAAGCCCCAATACTGACGAATATTTTGAGTAAACGTTCCGAACATATATAATTAAGCAAAAGACATCGTTTCAAAATTGGCCCAAAATTACGTCATAATGATTTAATTCTTTTCAAACACGGCGTTCGTGCCGTAACCATAGCAACCATGTCCATATCAAAATTCAAATCTTAAAGGGAAACAAGCGCCGGTCAAGCGAAACAAAAATAATTTTGTATTTTAAGAAAAATGGACACCGCCGATGCGGTTTCAACTCATTAAAAGAAGAGACACGTTATCTTGACAGCCGATCTTTAAACATATGGGCTGGTTTGAAGGAAAGAAATACTTCAATTTGCCGACTGTTTGTCAGATTGTCAGACGGTGGGGTGGTCTGAAATAAAACTAATTGACATGTTTAACATCGAATATAAAAAAAATTGTTTGAAAAATGCAGCTACAAAAATAAGCACTATGGACTAGTATTTGAAGCATGAACTTTGATGGCATCGCTGGGTAAAATCGCAGAATTCTGGTCGTACCAAAAGTAGCTCCTCGCATATTGTTACATAAAAGAATTTGTACAAAGTTATGTTCTTAGAGAAATACTTTAAGAAGCATAGCATAAAAAATTGACTCATTTCACGAATATTTAAAATTCAGAGTTAGCACCTCTTATTGATAAAAAAACGCTAGAACGCTCCACATTGATGGTGTCAATCAAATTCAAAACTTTCTACGACAATTAAAAAACAATTAGCTTCAATAAGTGTTCCCTAAAGTCAACTGCAGAACGCTTGCATGCGCTAGGTTTTGTGGAAAAAACAAAACATACATATCGAAACAGCTCATAAATAAATAACCACAAAATCCCATTTAAATTTCTGAATTTTTACATCCCAAATTCTTAACCCAAACCAAGAGTGAGGTCATTTCCAATGTTTTGGTCAAAAAGATAGCGAACGTGCCTAATTGAATGTTTTGGGCTGGGAGATGCAGCTGCGTTGGTCATTTGTAATAATCAAAACATCAAGATACAAGTGCAACTCAGGGGGTTTTTGGCATTGAGTAACTGCATCTTTGAATGGCGAACTAAAAGAAAAAGGTAAGGGGAATTGTGCGTAACTATATGCCAGGACCACGTTTCTTTTCCTTAAGCCTTTGCACTAGTGGACCCGTTTAACGCAAGGATGCTTTACCAAGAATAAACATAATATTCTATGCAATTCAAGAGTCTTGCTGCGCACTAACACAAATATTCTAGGATGGGATTGAATACTCATTTGAAATACATTATTGACACTGAATATTTGAAGAAATGTTTACGGTTTAAAAACTCCTAAAATTGCTATTTAGCTGGGCAAACCGTATGCATATAGTGCAAACACATTATGTATATGTATTATCACAGTGTATATTTGTTGGTATATTTCAAATAAACCGGTATATTAATCATACGTATCGGTACTGGTATCGAGACCCTTGCTGGCGTCCCCTTGCCTGACCCGCAAATATCCTTCTGTTTCTAATTTTGCCCCCGGTCAATCAACTTTGGAAACCATTGATATACAACAAGATTATCGTAACTAAAGTAAATATGATTGAAATATCCCTATAAATTCATTTTGAAATTTCGTTTTCTTTTTTTTAAACATGTTTCAGAAAAAAAGCAGAGACCTAACGCCAAGCGTAAACTCGCATTTCTCCTTTTACCAACAAGTCAACCTCAAATTTTTGAGCGCGCATAATATCTTCGAAGTTCAAATATTTTAACAACACCTGAATCACTTAATTGCGTGCTCAGGCGGTCGGTCTCTATCATGCGGAACATTGAGGGATTAGTTTGATCGTATTACAGATTCTTAACTACACGATAAGTTGTTTTAGGGTTTTGTTTTATTGCCCATAGTTCAGATAATTTTGAACTTTATGAGCGGGAGAAATTTAGGTATACGACGTATTAATACGATGTTGAAGGTCTGACCCTTTTGGAACGTAGAAAAAAGTATTTTTCTGTATTAAGCATAGTAATTATGCTGCTGTATTTATGCACGCATCGTACACTATAAAAACTGCACGAAAGGTAGAGTGCGTATTACGAGCTAAGGAGGTGTTTCCCAACCTATGTGTCGCTACCCAAAATTGTGTCCTATATGAAAATTTTCGTGGGTCGCCCATTTTTCAACAAAATCCTAAAAGTTATGGTTTCCCTTTTCTAGTAAATTTTATTGTTTATTTTATTTTATATTTGAATTGAAGTGTTACAAAATAGTAATTGTATATGTGCATAAATAGAGCATATTTAATTATGAATGCCAACAGTCAAAACTCATTTTTGCATTTGTTCAAATTATTAGGTCTTCAGAAAAATCAAGAGTTCACGATTGTCGCATTTAAATTGGTGGTGAGCTCAGGACTAATCTTGGATCAGAACCCCAAATTTACCCAGAATGCAGAGAGTGGCGACTTAAAAAAAAGTCTGGTCCTCCCTAAACAAACTTGCTCACTAAACAAGTGGCTTATTGTCTAAAGCCTAGTTCGAAGCGAATATGTGAAACACATATATAATTATTTATCCCTGAAAGTAGAGACAAAACTTTATATACCCTCGAATAGGAGACAAATGATGAACTCACAGATTTTCTACTATTTCTTTAGCTTCGGGAAGAAAGCATTTTGTGTTTCTCATTTTCCCACTGGACGTAATACAAGTGTCTGTGTTCTGACGGCCATATTCTGCAGTGACAATCTGGATATAGATATAAGTATATGTATGTTTTGTTGTTGAATATCAAAGTTTATTATATAAATTTGGGTACTTCCGTAGTATATGTACCAGGTTAGGGTTATTAAGCATTAATTTTAGGTACAAATACTACGGGAGTCGGCAAATCCCTAATATTATAAAAGAACTAAAATAAAGAAAATTGGAATAAAATTATGGCCTCACCCTAAGACAGTAAGCAATTATAGGCAACGTGTCAACACCTCTGCACCAACTATATTGAGGCAAATACCGACATTTGCGCCGATATTTTAACATAATTCAGATATATGGGGTGTCCATGAAGTTTCAAAACGTCTCAGAAATGCGAAGGGAATCTATCGATACCATATATTGTTTTGGATCTCACATATGTATTAAATGAACTAAAAATGCTTAACAATTACTTGTTAAAAACAATTAACTTGGTTAAGATATATCGAGAACTGACTTCATAACAAAATTGAAATACCAAAGGGACTTTATGGACATCCTGTAATATGGAAGCTGCAGCCCCTCATAATATTTCTAATCGTTTCAAAGTGGTAAAATCTACGTGATAATGCACGTTACCACCGATGTACAACTCCAGACATAATTTTTGTTAAAACATATTTTTTCACAGCTAACAGTGACGCCATCTGTTATAACGGCTGTGGATTCACCACAAGACCAAACCTCAATCTATCCGAAGCTTTTAAAAATTTCACGCCACGATAAATCCAATTTAGGTATGGTTTGTCGTTTATTCGAGTTGAAAAATATTTTGAAATTCTCAACGCGGACAATTTTGCTGACATTTCACACATATACACAACTTGTGACATCATAAGAACTTATGAGGTTATCAAGGATAAGAGTTATTCGCAATTACAAAAACTCAAAAAAATCGAAGTTGAAATTTTATGATAAAATTATTAGAATGACGTCACACACAAGTGGAAGTCGAACCAATGACGTCATACGTTTTTTACTGTGGTTACGTCAAGTATAAATAAACATGAAATTAGTGACGTCATCGAAATTATTCAAAATTTAATTTTGCAATCATAAAATCTGAAAATTTGAACCTTTGTTCCTACCTGTATGACGTCACTTCCGGGGCATCCGAGTGCTATTGGGTACAGGTCGCATCCAATTTCCGTTTTTATAGGAAAGTCATTTCCCCAGTCGAAAGCTAAAAATAAAGAATAAAATTATAGAAATACTATTCTCAAATATTTGTTTCACGATTTGGGTCACTTTAGCGATTTTCATAAATTTTCCACGGTAGTTTTCCACGGTTTCAGATTGTTTTTGAAAGTTTTTGCGAGATTTTTACTCTTTTTTTTGTTACAGGCGTCAATGATATCAGCTGATAACGGCTGGCACTGAATATAATTAGCTTGGCCTATGAAACCAGACAATGTAGTCTCGTTACTTATGGAGCCATTTATCAAGTAACGTAATATAATAAGCAATAAAATTATCGTTCGAAACGTTCCCACGGCCTGTAGGTTATTAATATTACATTAGTCATATTCGGTTAAATTTGTAACACTGAATTATGATTTTACTGGTGTAGGCCGTGAGTGGAGCTGAGCATTTTGGAACACCTGACGATTTAAGAATCGAATATAATATTTTTTTCGACTTGAGAAGAATATCGAATACTTTTGTTCGAATGCGACTTAATTTTTTTGTAATGAACTGGCCTGAATTTTGAAAATGATTTTAATATAAGCCCTTTTATTTTTAAATAAAACCTTGTTGATAGCGCAAATTTTTCCTTGACCTATTCGATAGCAAAAAATATCCCTACACAATTTAAATGATTGGTAATTTTTAAATAATCCTTGTTTAGATTCATAAGTAAATGAATTTATTCTTGCCTCATTCGTACAAATTATTCTTGCATTTCCATCAAATCAAAACCCATTATTAAATGCACTCGACCCGTTACTTTTACTATACGACAGCCAATTTAACGCTTGGTAATGTAAAATATTATTGAACTAAAATGGCAAAATGTATAATGATAGGATTGTCCATATAATATGAGATCGGAGAACAACTGTCTCTCATTTTCAAGTCTTATGGACACGCATCAGTTTGAAACATTGCTACTTAAATGACATCACGCACAGGTGGAAGTCTATTCGATGGCTACTGTGATGACGTCACGTACAAATATATAAGGAATGAGTGACGTCATCAAAAATTTCTAAATGTAATTTTGAAACCATAAAAAGTAAAAATGTTGCATGATAAATGATATTACGTTCTCACTACAGATAAGTAGTAAGTGTGTAGATATGCAAATTTGAAGCAATAAATTTTAGACATTCACTCAATACATTCCCTGCCCAAGCAAATATTAAAATTAAATCACAATTTCTAATTAAGGTTAAATGTAAGCCTTTTCCCGCCAACATTATAGGTATTCGAAGAAGTGAAAATATAAAAAAAAATGTAGTGAATAAAATTTGTGAAATTTACTAAAATGGGAATGGGAGAATACTGGCCAAGGTAATAATAGTAATGAATGTAATATACTATTCTCTTCAATCGTTTAAAATATAGAGAAGTGGTTTTAAACATTTGCGAGCCCCTATGTTACCATGAGAGCCTTTGTCGAACCTAGGAAAAGCTCCATCAAACCGCAAAGGTTGCTTGCAGAACCCTATTTACCCTGGTAGCCTTCGCCGAACTCAGGAACAGCTCCATTGACCCTTAGGGGTTGCCTGCCGAACCCATAGGTTACTCCGGGATCCTCAGCCAAACCCCGGAACAACCCAGGAAACACTAATATATAAAAAAGTATAGTCAAATTCCTAATAATTTACTCACATTTCCCGCCTGCCGAGGCGAATATTAAAATTGAATTATAATTTCAAATTAAGGTCAGACGATTGACCCTATATATTACAAAGCTATGCGGGATGCTTTTGATATTCTAAAATTGGCATACGGAGAATTGATGAGAATTTAAAGATATGTATATGATATTTTAACGAGTGTTAGAAATAAATGAAAAACGGACCTCGTAAAGTATGCGCACCAAGATGGCGCACAACCTGAACTCTGTTGTGTAACAGGTTAGGGTTCATTCAGGTTATGCAACATCTTGGTGCGCATACTTCCGGAGTACCTAATAAACATTTGAAGAACCCGGACGAGAGTCGGGGTGAGAAAGCACTGGTAATAATAAGGTATTCCCATTTTTTTTTATAATTTGGCATTCGGGTCATAGCCAGGCAGTTTAAAAAGGAAGGTCTTGAATTTCTAATTGCCAAGTTAGATCATGACATCTAGCGGGTTTTGACTCTCAACTTCCCCATGTTTATGTATGCTGCCGAAAAACAATTTAGTACATGTAAATGTAACGCTCACTTTCATTTTAGTAATTGAAAACGCGAATTACAGAGAATTACAATAGAGCGAAATAACATCAATGATTATTTAAGCAATTTTTAAATACATACGATAACTACTTCACAGAAATGAATTTCAACAACGGAATGTCAAATCCCGAATGGAAAATGATTCAATAAATTTAGAGATTTCTTTGTTAATTCAAAATCCGGTCCCAAATCGGTAAATCACTCTTAAACGGTCAAACCATTATTTAAACTGATGACTGTCTGGGCGCATGCTGGGCTTTTCAAAAACCGATTCCATTTGTCATCCAAAAATAGGTCAAACAAACAGAAGGCATTAGGAATATTTACTTATAAGTGGGTAGAAATAACAAGACGAGCGAAAGTGTCTACAATTCAAAATTCGTATTTCGAGCATAAATCTAAAAGCAATTTTTTTTAACAAATGATACGTCATTTGAAAGTGAACCAATTTACGTAGTTTTACGTAACTTTAAGTACGAATTTACGCAATACCATATTAACTAAACTTGGAATTAATCGCGTAAAAATCGCTCAACAAAATAATATATTTACGATGTATAACAAGTCATATAATAAAATAATAACATTTTAATTGCTATTACATTTCAATTGAAAAGTTATAAGGAGCTCAAATATGTCAAGTCTTTGCTTCCGAAAACAAACAAACTAATTTCATACCCGACATGGACTGGTAACCGGACGAGAGACAGTGGTTCGCCATATATGATTGAGCCGTCTTATCGGCTTTCCTCTCCCCTTGGGTAATTATGTAAACCCTGTTCTGTAAATCCCATAGACTCCGGTATAAAGCGTTACAATTGACAAAAAATTGGTGAGTATGATATAGATAAATGCCCTTTTTCAAGTAGAAAAAAAGAAGAAAAAAAAAACTCGGCCATGGAGTTTACGGCCATGTATGCGACAACAAAGAGAAAAAAATATTGCCTTGATCCATATAAACGGATAGAATCGCAAACGAAATAAAGCGATTTGGTGACTGAGACCATAATTAGATGATATTGTCTGGTTCACAAAGCCCTAGACAGGGGGTGTGAAATCTTTAACACACGAGGGCAAGATACAAATAACTAGATGAAGTCGCGGGCCTCATCTAGTCCGTAACAATTTCGTATTGGCAATGATTTCAATAGCCAAATTGAATTCACGTTAGCGCTAATACCTCAAGCCTATTCAAGCAATTTTTAGGAATGAATTCGCACGATAAAATAACATATTTACGATGTATAACTAGCCATAACGTATTAAACGCTATAAATATATTACATTCAAATAAAAACGTTAATATGAGCTAAAATAGATATACAAATATGGGATGTCTACTTGACGATTGGGAGTAAATACAAGCATATGACAAAATAATTACAGAAATACATTTGAGTTAGAGCGTAGCAATACTTTCTTTCAAATAACATTAGACAATCTCTTCGGTAACAATTCCAAAATGAAAATGGAATTAATAGCCAAACTGAATTCACGTTAGCGCTAATACCCGAAGCATATTCTCCGCAATATTTTGAAATAAAATCGCACGACAATAACATATTTACGATGTATACCAAGTCATATAAGCAAATAATAACGCTTTATTGGCTGTGACTCATTTTATGCTCGAATTAAACAGTAATTGATCAAAAATGTATACGTGGTCATCCTTGATCCATTGGTCGCAACGGTCATTAAAATACAAACAGTGAAAACCCGTGAAAACCACCAAAAACCTTTCAAGACGTTTAAAAACAGTGAAACTGAGGCCAGCTGCGGCCCATGTGTGATACGAATGAGACGGAAATAAAACGTCTGGGAAAATTTGTTTGTCTAGAAAAGGTTATTATACAAATATTTAATTAAGTCGGAAAATGTCCTTTTATGGTTTTGGATAATTGACGATAGTACATAAGACCTAATTACATATTGGTATTAATCTCTCTCTATTTATAAAAGGTTTATTTCACGAAACTGATATCTGACTAATGTGAGGAGCTATTCTTATTAGTAGAGGGGTATTCCTATGATCAAACCCTGGGGTGGGTTTCGAAATTGAAGATTGGGGCTGGCCACAAATTAAATCAACCAATCAACAGTTACGCCAGTGATTTCTCTACACCCCCTCTATAGGGCGTGAACAATCCCCTAAAATTTTTAACACCCCCCAATTTTGCGACATGACGCCACACTTAATTAATAAAATTCTTAGCGTAAATAAAACTATATTCGAATACTCAGAAAGTAGCGGCTTATATGCCGGTGATCATTAAAATACAATCTCCTTTTTACCTTGTCCCCTAAAATGAAGAGATGGGGAACATACTGGGTTACATCAACCACCCTACGACAAAGAGGAATCCAGCACTCCTATTAAATCAAAGGTGTGAAGCCAACATATGATACTCAGAGGTAGATGTTTCACGTACATTTCATGAATGCATAATTACTATATACAATGCTGATTGAAAATTCAACATTGACGTCCCGAAAGAATTTATTTTTTGACACATTGGACACAATTAATTTTCAATAGCGGAAGACTTTGTTTACTTCCGCAACATTGACTAATCAGCAAAATATACAAAAAGTGACGTATTAAACAAAATTTTTGCAGAAGCCCCGACACTTTTGTCTCTCAAACAGATTTTCATGCATCGTTGTTAATATTACCTCGTTTTCGCGGTTTGCGTACTATTTGTCAATTTTGAATTGTGTTTCCGAAATTCAATAATTTAATAATCATTTTTTGAGTTTTAATTTAATTGTAAATATCAAAAACTGTTCTAAG